AAGTCTAGAAACACTCCGAACGGTTATACTGCCCCATCCGTAACAATGATTCCACGGTCAGAAACGGCAGATAACACGGTATAATTTTTTTTCTTCTTTTTTTTATGGCAGAATATTTTTTTTATAAAACTTAGCACGAAAGGAAATTTAAATCTATGTCCATTCGATCTTTCTCTTTATTTGCTTTGGATTTTAGTGCCTTAAATAAAGTTTTTTTCACCTTTACCTCATAAATTTGGAAAGTATGACAGTCAAATTCAATAAACAGAAAATTCTTTGACCTTTTCTCTCTTGATAGCATATGCCCCTTGATCCAAATGATTGATGATTTAAAAAAATCGATTATTTTACTTTGATATTTCTCATTGTTTTCCCTCCAAATATTTGAGCAATTTTCGTACACAAGAAAATACCTATCTACAAAACAAGCCATTATCTAAACTCAGCATGGATGAAACAAAGGCAAAGCATTAACAAATGAAATATTAACATTGTGACCATTGACAAGTACAAGGAGAATGAAACACTGTGTACTGGAACAGTGTCTTCTGCTGGGTCAATGACACCTGACTGTAAATCATGGTCAGTCCAAGTAATCGATAGTTGAACAGATTCATGGAAATTTTTAATTTTGTTGTCTGAAGCTACAACATAAGCTACGGATATGTTAGAGCATGAAACATTAAAACCAAAATATCAATGATTGCTCATCGATGATAGTTCTTTGATAAAAAAAAAAATAAATTTTACATTCATTAATTTTTAGCCATTAAGACCTTTTTGTCCCTATTCATTTCCTAGTAAATGAAATTGAAGACACCGTGTTAATATTTACTGTACCTTTCAATCCAAACCTGTGAGTGATGATAACTATTCTTTAAAAAATTCTTACTTTGAGACCATCTTTATCTGTTCTGAAGAGGTAAAACTCATTCAGGACATCCAAAATTATCCTCGAACCATTTTGAGGCTCTCTGGATAAATTACCAGGGTAATTTAAGGAGGTGATAACAGATATAATTTTCTTAAAGAAAACTAGCAATTCTGAACATCCAGGAATATTTTGCTTTCAAGGGAAAGCCACCACAATTTGGTTGTTCCCTTATTGATGTTGTAATTTTTTCTATGAGAAAAACTATGATGAGAAATTTGTTTTTACTGCGAAAATAGAAATTAGACATTCACAATTCTTTTAAAACTTAGAATTACTTTTCAATTACCATGCAAATTTCACAACTGAAGAAAAAAACAAAAATTTGTCTGATTATAACTCAAATCAAACAAGAGGCACAAGGGTCTTAATGATCACCTGAGTTTTTTTGTTAAAAGAAAGTAAGATGACTTGAACTACATTGTACATAAATGTAAACTGTTCATAAAATTAACTGCTTTCCATTGCTAAGGTTTCTGACCAAGTTTGAATTAAAAGAAATTAAACTAAAAAAAAATTGATTTTCCTATATAAAATCTTCAATCCATTAGTCAATTTGACCTATTTTTGGCCCCACTCATCAGTCCCTGATGGTCATCCGTGGTCAATATGTGCATCTCTCCAAACTGTCAGATTATACTTATAATTCTAACCAAGGCTTTTCCATCCATGAACAGTATTCGACTGTTCCTGGGATTTGAGAAGATTTTTGAAGTTTTAATCAATTTGACCCTTTTTGGTTCCACCCTTCAGGCCCCTGAGGGTCATGGACCATATAATTTATACTTTTGGTGCACAAAAAGGAAGGATTTTGTAAAATTTCATTGAAATTGGTTCAGTAGCTTTCCAGGAGAAGTTGAAAATGTTCAAAATCTATGACACATGACACCGGACAAAAGAGGATCGCAGTAAGACACCCTGAAACCTCTTCTCAGGTGACCTAAAAAGCACTTTTTGTAGTAAATTACAAAGAAATACAAAGCTACCTACCTAAGACATCCATTATCTAATTCACAAGCTGCTCCAATTTTGTAGTATGTACTCCGGAGAAATATGAGGACATGAAAATGCAAGCCAACTTATAGAATACAAATTTTGGGAATTAAGGACACCATAGACTTTTCAACATCAGATAGTTTACCTTGACTTTTCCTGTAACAAAATCAACATGGACAGCTTTCAACCAAGATGTATAAAAATTGGGGTTTTATGGTAAATTTCTATTTCTGGATCATCAGACCTGTATCCCCAACCTATGGTATTTATTTACATACCACAGCTGATGCTGTTCTCTAGGTTATGGGGAAGTTTTCCATTCATCATAATGTCATCAGGAAATATCCTTTATTGGTGTTCTATATAGCTGGACTTGTTCACTGCTCATTGATATGCCTAGTGGTTCCATTGTTGTTTAATATGTTCTCATTAGGGAATGACACTTATTTCTTGGATTGGCCAAAATTTACATAAGAGTCTTTGATGAAGCAGCTAACTTTCTGAAACACCTGGTCTTATTCCTCCTGTACTTTTTCAAGTCTCCACATAAATCATTTTTCTTCACATTTTGTCCAAGTTTCTCATCGCATTTGTGTTTGAATTGAGATTCTGTATTATATCAGTACTTTCTTTGTTGTACTTAAACAAGACCAGAAAATTGACCAGAACTCATCACATGAATGCCACTGTTTTAAAATCAGGTAGAAGCTGACAACTGAATGTACATTCTTAGCTGCAGCTTCCACATATTTTACCACTGGCCACTTTTTAACAGTCAATACAGTATATGCACACTAGAAGAATGAGGAAGAGACAAAGTCTACATTATCAACTATATAATTAAGGACTAAAACATCCACTCAGCATCTATATTGGAACAGTAAGCTGGTTTTTGTAATAAAGTTCAAATAAAACAGCATACCATTGTTTGTTTTACCTATCAGTATTAACATTTTACAATACGAACCAAACATTCTAATTCATTCCAGATTTACACAGTATATTTGTAATAGTAGAACCATCATTAACTGCCAGCTCATGTTTTATTTACACAATAATCTTGAAGACCATTTTTAATGACACAATGGCATTTATCATCCCAGCATGAAATGGCCCAGAAAAGTCAATGAAACTTTCACTGTGATATAGATTTTAATAATCTGTGACCTGAGCGGTCACACAAAACGCAAACCACACACAATTTGTGGCATTAGATTGTACTTTTACAAATATTTGTTTTCAGCATGACAAATAAACCTTAATTGAAACGACATCAATATAATAGAAATATTTTTTCCTGAAGCAGGGTTTTCACGTCATCCTGTCTATTATATTAGGTGTTAAGATAAAAACAACTTCTTGGATAAAAGACAACGAACATGACCGGTGTTTTCTTCTTTATTCAACAGATAGTAACATTTCTTGCTATCACAATTTCAGGGAAAGCTGAGAGCAAACCAAAGCATGAATCCTGAACAATCTTGTGTTAGAAGACCAATCATTTTTTGTATAGGATGAAAAAAGCTGCTTAACCCCATTTCCGTCTGGGGAAATATTGTATCACTTCTGAATACAGCCAGATATAGCAGACTAACAGCAGCTCGGGCGAGTTTGCTTAGGACTTAAAACAACAAATAAATCAAGTACTGTAAAAAAGAAAGAAAAAAGATAAAAAAAACAAATAAGCATTCCTACATGTATACATTCACCATTTCTGTAAAATTCAAAACAATTTGAAGAATTACAAATGAACCATGCCCAATAGAAAATTTAGAACATATGTGAAAAAAATTATTGGTAAGATATAAGCTTACTTTCCAACATGAAATGGTAATGTAAAATTACAAACAATCAAAAGGATAAGCAATTAACCACGACTTCTGAACATTGAACACAAGTGTACCGATTTCTCAGCTATGCCATCTGTAACTCCATCAAAGTGTATGGAACAATTGTCTGCAAACTACAACAAAGTATACAATCAACTAGCTTGAAAACAAATTGTACTATCTCTAATCTCATTGATTAAAAATTTTCATTTAAATGATTCAGAATTAATTCAAGGCAATATTTACAACAACAGAAAGTTTAGGGAAACAATTATACAAATATATAATACCTATGTACATACTAAATATGTATGGATATTATTGTTAACAACAAACTAGGTCATTCTAGAATCTCCACAACACTATTCAGATGATTAGCATACAGGACACACGTATGTTTAAACAACGAGCACTTCTGATTATAGTGTATTTACTGGCATAGACCATTCCGTCTTTTCCTAACTCAGAGTTATCTGCTCTTGTGAGCAGGTATTGAATGTTACATCATTAGTTTGCAGGAGAAAACTAAGTCATTTGCTAACAGATTTAAGATGTTACTTTCACAAACTAATGACAAATCTGTAACAATCAATATCTACTTACACTAGTACATAACTGCATCATGAGGAGACAGAATTCCGTGGGCAAAGTCCCATATCCAGATATAAGTGTTTCTTAAAATGTTAAATCTAAAATTTATACCCACTATTGTTACTTTTATATGCCATAATATTCAATAAGGGAAAACTTATAAAACAATATTCAGGGTATCTAAAGGTGAAAGTTCAAAGTAAAAAGGAACCATTACATTTTGAGGTGGGGAAGGGCTTATATAGGCTTTTGATTGTTGTTCAATACCCAAGGAATTTGTTCTATAAAATCTTTGTGAAATGAAATAGGACCATGTAAACCATCTTGATGTCCTAAATCAAGATCATGGAGGCTGTCTGAGGGCAGTTGAGTAAACAGGCCCACTAGGCATCTTTTCCAGGAGTTAACACACAAAGTGTACAAAAATCCATACACATACTCCTGATACAACCACTGACTGCAGAAGTTGAATGTTCTGTTAAAATATTTAAATTCAATAAATTTTAAGTTGCTTTGCCAACATACATATCCAATATACCTGTAAGTATATATTTAACAATAAGCTATCAGTCTGTACAGGTATCTATTATAATACTCTTTTTATGATGTGCATCATCAAGGCAGATTTAGGTATCTTCAGTCCCCCCCCCTCACCAACCCCCAGCATCACAATACACATATCTACATAATTATTTACAAAATAAACTTGACCTGTCTACAACAGCAGTTCTAACAATGATTTAATCACAGACAGTGTTGTCTCCATAGCAACGTGTATAATAACAACAATATATTTTATGGTATTATGCATCTGATATTTTGTAAGGTTTATAACTGGTAAATAATAGCACTGAGTCAAGGTGAACATACACACATCCACAATTACAGTTTGGCAGTTGTCTCTGTAAACTTAGAACTAACAATCATTGGATATCAAAGAAACAAATCTTATACATATTTTTTTCTGTATTTCTTTTTTCCTCTTGGTAATACAGTATCTGTAATGATATAACATGAGCTTTGTAGCACTCTGTATACATTGGTTCTGCGTAATATATTTTTAAAAAATGTACTCCCATTCTCCTCCCCTAAAAAAATAACAATATTATAATCATTCAGTATACAAAGTACTCATTGCTGTAGTGGTTTTTGTTTGTTTTGTTTTTTTATCATTCAATTTAAAATCAATTTACTAGAACACTCATTTAAAACAATGTCTTATAAACAGTAACAATCTCTAACCAAAGTTTCTCAATAGGTTTCAAATAGAACAAAGAAAAAGTACACAAATTTGGCAGGAGGAACAAACACTTTTCGGTGAGAGACACTTTAAGGGTGTACAATCTGTGACCACTACCAAGAGACCCTTTATGGGTGTACAATCTGTGACCACTACCAAGAAACTCTTTATAGAGTGTAGAATCTTGTTGTAAGCTTGTCATTTCAACTTTGTTACATTTTGTTTAACAGTACAAATAAAAAATGTTTTGAAAATGATAAATTTTCATTAAGGTATATTACATTATCAATGCCTAGATACAATTCTAAGTCTTAAAATTTGTTGTCAACAGTTCCACCAGAAGCCTTTACTTTCACTAAAGCTTATTGCATATGTCTAAATTAATGACATGCAACAAAGACAAAAGTCCTTCAAATGTTTTGATAAATTCTAAGCAAAGGTTTATCAATATGAACTCTACTTGTATGTCATGACCCCTGCATAAGAAATTCAAATTGTTCAAGATATGTTCAATAATTTTGTAACAGTTGGTAACGTTGTCAGCCGTAATGTACTCTGTGGTCAGTTCTCTGGCTGATACACAATGCCACCTGGCCCTGCCAGAGAAGTCTTGCCCATGAGATCAAGGTCAACCTGCCGTGCAGCCTGCCTGCCCTCAGAGATGGCCCACACTACCAAAGATTGGCCTCGTCGACAGTCTGTTGTGTAAAACATCAACATTAAAACACAATGCTCACTGTACTTAGAAAATTATTCGTCAAATTATACCTCAATAATTTTCTTGAACCTAATAAAATTAAACATTTATCAAATTTCTAAGACAATATTTATTTAATAAATCTCTGGATGTATCCTTCTACATTATCAAGACAGAATAACACTGATCAACACTTTTAAAGCATATACAAACCTTTTAGTGTTAAAATATACAAAGATACATATCAAAATTTAATTTTTATTTAAAAAAGATAGTTTATGAAGGATGAAATAAAAACAAAATATACCTCCAGCAGCATAAACCTTGGGAACACTTGTACTGTATTTATTTCTGGGTGTCTGAAAGTTCCCTCGGGGGTCAAGTTTGGTGGAAATTTCTTCTACAATCTTTTTCTCTGGCCCAAGGAATCCCATCGCCAACATAACAATATCACACTTGATGAACTGTTCAGATCCTGAAAAATATGAAAATTTCCTCTTGAGATGAGATTCTGAGGGACAAATTCTGTCTGTTTTATAAAAAATCAGTTATCAATTAACTTTTATCTCAACATTCAGTCAAAATCTCCATTTCACAATACATCATGATATATCTTTATACATATACAACAGCAGCATTATTTCCAATATGGCCACCATATATTTGATGAAAATGAAAGGAATATCTTAGGTATTCTATATTAAACTAGTAAGATGTATGCAGGAATACATTACTCTGTTAATAAAATAGTCAACATGTTGAGTCTAACTGTATAGAGGTTTCACAACAAATACCACAGAGATCCATGTTTATGTATAATAAAAAAACCCAGAAAATATAATTAAGTGTAACTAATAACAATGTGCAACATACTTGATTATATGAAAATTGTAAATAATTATTTTAGTTTTAGGATTTTCTATGTTGAACATTCTGATACATTTAAATGGTTAGTGACACTTAATTTCTAGGTTAGAAAAAATGTGTAAAGGGTAAAAAACTATCATGATGATATTTCCATAGTCACTTGACTATGGCAGTCATAGTTATTTTGCTCTTGCAATTCTATTATGTGAGGTTTTTTCCCCTCAATAGTCACCCCTACTTAGGTCCCTCTCCTGTACTAACACTGGGGACTAGTTATAGTTACAATTTCAAAGTACATCGTAATGAGTGTCATACCTGGTACATCGGCCATTGTCCAGCGGCCGGAGTCATCCTTCTTCCACTCCACTAATATAGTGTTGATACCACAAACATTACCTTTCCCATCATCCACGAAGTTCTGAAACACATCGATACTTCATGTCAACAAACTCTAATAAAGATTTCTGGTGGGGCAGGTCAGAAAACAGCTGACTACAGTGGAGAAGACATGATGTCAAGGAAATTCACTAACACGGCAACACAAAAGATTACCATATAATACTGATAATCAAGCTAAGGGACACTTCATTGCTGAACTGATCAACACCAATCAGACACTTTCCAGAAATCAATATATAATTACTGTGCTCTTGATGTTGAATATCCTTGGGTCACGTCCAAACTTCAGTTCTACTTCCTCATGTCCATAATCCATTTTGAAAACACGAGGCCAAGTTGGCCAGGGGTTGTCATTTGCCCGAGATGGAGGAGGAGGTGGCAGGATCTCAAAAGATGTGATACTCTTGGCACCCTGTTGCAAACAAAACATAACTGTGATTTATTAGGAAATGTGAAGCATAGCTATGATTACTAAGGCAATGTGAAACATAGCAATGGTTGCTATGGAAATCTGAAACACAGATATGGTTACTAAGGAAATCAGAAACAATTCTGTAGTTACTATGGAAATCTAAAACATATCTATGGTTACTAAGGAAATCAGAAACATAGCTATGGTTATTAAGGACATCTGAAAAATATGTTTACTTAGGAAATCTGTAATATAGCTATGGTTACCAAGGAAATCAAATATAGCTATTGTTATTAAAAAAATCTTAAAGAAACATCATACTGAGGTAGCTATACAGTCACACCCTGTGTCACCATCCCTCTCCCCACTGACTTACCTGTCATAGAGAGGTGACTATACAGTCACACTCTGTGTCACCACCCCTCTCCCCACTGACTTACCTGTCGTAGAGAGGTGACTATACAGTCACACTCTGTGTCACCATCCCTCTCCCCACTGACTTACCTGTCATAGAGAGGTGACTATACAGTCACACTCTGTGTCACCACCCCTCTCCCCTCTGACTTACCTGTCGTAGAGAGGTGACTATACAGTCACACTCTGTGTCACCACCCCTCTCCCCTCTGACTTACCTGTCGTAGAGAGGTGACTATACAGTTACACTCTGTGTCACCACCCTCTCCCCTCTGACTTACCTGTCATAGAGAGGTGGCTATACAGTCACACCCTGTGTCACCACCCCTCTACCCTCTGACTTACCTGTCATAGAGAGGTGGCTATACAGCCACACACTGTGTCACCACCCCTCTCCCCTCTGACTTACCTGTCATAGAGAGGTGGCTATACAGTCACACCCTGTGTCACCACCCCTCTCCCCTCTGACTTACCTGTCGTAGAGAGGTGACTATACAGTCACACTCTGTGTCACCACCCCTCTCCCCTCTGACTTACCTGTCGTAGAGAGGTGACTATACAGTTACACTCTGTGTCACCACCCTCTCCCCTCTGACTTACCTGTCATAGAGAGGTGGCTATACAGTCACACCCTGTGTCACCACCCCTCTACCCTCTGACTTACCTGTCATAGAGAGGTGGCTATACAGCCACACACTGTGTCACCACCCCTCTCCCCTCTGACTTACCTGTCGTAGAGAGGTGGCTATACAGTCACACCCTGTGTCACCACCCCTCTCCCCTCTGACTTACCTGTCGTAGAGAGGTGACTATACAGTCACACTCTGTGTCACCACCCCTCTCCCCTCTGACTTACCTGTCGTAGAGAGGTGACTATACAGTCACACCCTGTGTCACCATTCCTCTCCCCTCTGACTTACCTGTCGTAGAGAGGTGGCTATACAGTCACACCCTGTGTCACCACTCCTCTCCCCTCTGACTTACCTGTCGTAGAGAGGTGGCTATACAGTCACACTCTGTGTCACCACCCCTCTCCCCTCTGACTTACCTGTCGTAGAGAGGTGACTATACAGTCACACCCTGTGTCACCACTCCTCTCCCCTCTGACTTACCTGTCGTAGAGATGTGGCTATACAGTCACACCCTGTGTCACCACCCCTCTCCCCTCTGACTTACCTGTCGTAGAGAGGTGGCTATACAGTCACACCCTGTGTCACCACTCCTCTCCCCTCTGACTTACCTGTCGTAGAGATGTGGCTATACAGTCACACCCTGTGTCACCACCTCCGATAATCACAACATCTTTGTCCTTAGCATGGAGCTTCAGGAATTCCAGGTCATTTCCTTGCTGTTTCTTCTGCCAAGTTTCCAAGAAACTCATTGCAAAGTGAATACCATTCAACTGACGACCTAAAAAATATCGCAAATAATAACTGGTAGTTTTTTAAACCAGCATGTGCATTCTCAGACACTGGCCGAAATATTTTAGCTGTTTTCGAACATATAAATCTGCATATATACATAACATTAAGAATAATAAACACCACTGTGTTTGTTCAATTGATTTACTACATCGACTGAAAAACATCTTCATGACATAGCCCAGTTCTCATGCAAACCAGACTTGGATTATGTGTAGAACTTCAAGTTGTGATACTATGAGGTAAATATGAACCAAATCTGTTCAGAAGTTCTAAAGGTATGGCATTGATTTGGAATGGACATAAAAAGAATAACAGCACTTGTCCCATCCCTCAGCAATAAAATTGAGGGCAGAGATAGTTCATAACAAGTGTAGGTTGGTTCTTCCTATTTGACATTCAGACCATATACGGGTAATTCACCAGGCTGTATGACGTGCAGTGACTTACCAGGTATGGGAAGATCCCTTGGATGTGTGGCCCCTAGAGCTAGCACCACAGCATCATTGTCCTGTACCAGCTGTGTAGATGGGATGTCCTTACCAACCTCTACTCCAGTGACAAACTCTATCCCTTCCTCAGCCATCAGATCAACACGGCGCTGGACAACCTACAGGACACGCCATGTTTGATCATTTGAGGGAGAAACAGATACACCTAAATATCTGACTGGATGTATTATAAAAATCATCATCTCATACTTTTGTAACCTTATAATAAATCAATTCATAAACACGATTTCAAGTTTCTGTTACAAATGTTCATACAAACTACAAGCTTGTGTTTGAAGAAAAGGATGTTTCGAAAGATATTTGTAAAGAATTTAAAGGGCGTAAATGAAGTGCTATCGATATGTAACCGGACATTATGTCATATACAAGACCTACTTACCTCCTTGCTTAGTTTCATGGTAGGTATGCCATATCTCATCAGCCCTCCAATGCGGTCATTTCTCTCATATACAGTCACTAAGTGACCAGCCTTTAACAAAAACATATCAACAACTGACTTGTAAAGTAACACGTATTTAACATGTAAACATGACATGATTTCCCCTAATATCTTGAAAATCTTAAATACTCGACATTACTTTTCAAAATGTCATTCATTACAGATATCAACCAAACCATAAGCTGTCCACAATATAATAATAACCCAATGATCATAGCTTAGAGTCTTGAACTCTTGGTAGTCACCTTGTTGAGTTGAGCAGCAGCAGCCATTCCGGCAGGGCCACTACCAACAACGGCTACTTTCTTCCCTGTCCTGTGTAGTGGAGGTTCTGGCTTTATCCAGCCCTGCTCAAAGCCATGGTCAATAATAGAACACTCAATGTTCTTGATGGTCACTGCTGGAGAGTTGATCCCCAACACACAAGCTCCCTATAGGATATAACATAGTACTTCCTTTACATACACCAAGGTATCCAACAAGTCACACTTTTCAGTATGAGAAATAACATGTTTCACATTCAGACTTACTGTACATTTATTTATTCATTTTATTTATAGCTATACAACCTATCATTCACATTTAACTGTAAGTTGAACAAATAATTGTTCATTAACACATGTACATAATTTTATCCATTAAGACAAAGTGGATTTAAAAATGAGAAAAAGAGGTTAAATCTTATTGAACAACATGTAATTCCCAAAATTGGGAATTATTTTCTCTTAGTTTTTAATACGTCATTATTTGTACTTTCACAATCCGTTACCAGATTCACGCACAATGAAGAGTAAATGTAGAAAGAGACACTGTTGTAAGGCATATACTGTCTGGAATAGGGATGTTGTTTGAGGTCACATTGTGAAGCTTCAGTCTACAGGTAACATTATATAGAGGTTAAATCTACCTGAACTTAAAAGTTACCTCACAGGGAGCAGGACACACACGTCCAGTAAACTCAGGGAAGTTGTTGGTTTGTAATAGTTGGTCCAGGGCTTCTTTCCATTGGTTCTGTTAACACAACATATATTGTTAAGTGTATCAGAATAATGATTCATATATCGATAACAGAGTAAGCAATTACTATTTAATATTTTCTCTTGCTTCAACATAATGTGACCAGGATAAGAAATTCTGTAAATAGATTAATGGAATGTGGCAAACATTCAACTTTCTTATGATGCCACTGAAAAAAGAAACCATTTTCGTAGGGAAAGGCCTTTCCTCCTTTAATTAAATTGAAACCTGTAACTCAACATGAATTAGAATTGACCTTAGGCACAGCTCTGGTCCACCGTGCACTCCCCTGTAACAAAGTTTATACAGGCCTATGAGGCACAGCTCTGGTCCACCGTGCACTCCCCTGTAACAAAGTTTATACAGGCCTATGAGGCACAGCTCTGGTCCACCGTGCACTCCCCTGTAACAAAGTTTATACAGGCCTATGAGGCACAGCTCTGGTCCACCATGCACTCCCCCGTAACTACAACATATGCCAAAGGCACTTTTCACAAAGTTTATACAGGCCTATGGTAGTCAGATGTCCATATCATATGCTATATATAGACACCATCAATAATGCATGCAAGTGGCTGGTCTAACCCTCTTTGTCAACACTTCTAAATTCTAGGTTAGGTAATGTACAGTGAATGTGACTGCCTTTGTTTTTTTCGAAGGTTATATAATTAAATTCTTTAAATCTAATGTTTTTGGTTGCTGTTGTGTCAATAGTGTCTTCAGTTTTAATTAATATATTTCACAAGTGTGTTTGATATTTCAGTATCTTGAACGAGTGAAGATACAAAACATATTAGACACACGAGTGAAACATACTTGTTATCATACAAGTAAACTTTCTTTATCCTACAACAATTGCTAAACAAGCTTTAAGCTTACATCAATCACTCTTGATTGCGTGGATGGAAGCTTGTGTGTTTCACAGATACTACTTACTCATAACTTCACAGTACGCAACAAAATACAGTCAGTCATTTAAAAATCAAAACAAAACTGAATTTCAATGTTAATTTAGTTTTATATTCACATAAAAATGTTACTTATTTATGTCAATAACAGACAAAAGTTCCTGTAAAATATTCAGAGAGAGTTTACCCTGCGACAAGTTACTATGCTGCTGAAAATAAGGCAGCAACCTACAGCTGTCACTGTTGATGACACAAATCCCTGGAAATGTCTTACGTGTCAGCTCCACATTCAAGATGTTCGGTTGGGGATTGGATTTAATCTTGGATAGGGTCATTTGCATTGCATAGTTTGCTTAATTTCATAGAAATGAAAGCTTATCATGGAATTGAAGGTAGAATCACTAGTAAACAATCCCTTCAGGTTTCTGGTTTTGTGTTTTATGATTTGTCAATTTTATAAGCTAATTTGTGTTCTCTCTTTTCATTGGTGTAAGTCTCTATATTTCACTTAAAATAATGACAAGGTAAAATAAAACAATAGGAGAAACTAACTAAAACTAAAGCTTAGAATAAATAAATACATGGTGATAACTGACCCTGAATACCAAGTCATTCCACTTTGGTATGATGTTACTGAGAGGGCAGCCATTGTCAGATTGACAGAATGGCACGCCACAGTCCATACATCTGGCTGCTTGCTGCTGTAGTCCATCTTTCACCACACTGTGATTGTAAATCTCCTTCCAGTCCTTCTGTCGGGACTTCACATCACGGTATTGGTATGTCGCACGGTTGTACTTCACAAAACCCCTGTAAGTCATATCAATGTATACCTCAGACTATAACAAAACCATACAATGTTGGGTAAGGATTTCACTATAGTAGGAAAGGTAAATAATTCAGTGTAGGACAATGATCTTTGAAGATGATATACACTTTGAACAGTAAATATTAATCTTGGGTATGTAGTAAAAAAAAAATCTCACATTTGTTTGCGTTCTAAAGATATCTATGAAATTTATCATGGATTTTCCATTAAAAGCTTTCAAAAGGTTTGCTATTATGAAAATTCTTCAAACTTACATGTTGTCTGAAATAGGTTCTAGCATATTATATTAGAATTAAAAAACAGAAATTTCAAGATTACCTCAGTTTATCAAGCTTTTCAAGGTTTTTCTGGTTACGAACAGCGTCTGGTATAGTTTCCTCTATATCTACGACTTTCACCGCCTTGGTCTTCTCCTGTGGGTTACATACAAGATAATATGTCTAGGGATTTTTTATGACACATATACTAATGTTTTCATATACAACCTGAACAACTACTTGTCATTTTAGAAACAGATAAAATTAATGCATTTAGAATAGCTATAACAAATTATTTTCTTCAAAGGTCCTTCCCAAATACACAGGATTATAAAATCATTTTCTCTAATGATCCTTCCCTAATACACAGGATTATAAAATCATTTTCTCTAATGGTCCTTCCCTAATACACAGGATTATAAAATTACTTTCTCTAATGGTCCGTCGCTTATACACAGGAATATAGAATTATTTTCTCTAATGGCCCTTCCCTAATACACAGGATTATAAAATTACTTTCTCTAATGGTCCTTCCCTAATACACAGGATTATAAAATTACTTTCTCTAATGGTCCTTCCCTAATACACAGGATTATAAAATTATTTTCTCTAATGGCCCTTCCCTAATACACAGGATTATAAAATTACTTTCTCTAATGGTCCTTCCCTAATACACAGGATTATAAAATCACTTTCTCTAATGGTCCTTCCCTAATACACAGGATTATAAAATTACTTTCTCTAATGGTCCTTCCCTAATACACAGGATTATAAAATTATTTTCTCTAATGGCCCTTCCCTAATACACAGGATTATAAAATTACTTTCTCTAATGGTCCTTCCCTAATACACAGGATTATAAAATCACTTTCTCTAATGGTCCTTCCCTAATACACAGGAATATAGAATTATTTTCTCTAATGGTCCTTCCCTAATACACAGCATAAGCCTTCCTCACCTTTTCCTGTCCATTGATAATGAGATCCTCCCCGTAGCCATTTCCATTTACGCCATTGACAACACCATTCTTTACACCCTCGTCATTGTGTGCGGCAGCCTTCTCTTTCTCGGCCTCCAGCAGGGCCCGTTTAAACTCATGAGGAAACACCTGTTAAACAGTGTAACCGCCCAGTCAAAGCATTTCTGAGTACATAACACAATTTCTCTTATAATGATAAAATGGAAAACAATGTATATGCCATGTCTACATCTAATTTTTCATGTAACGAAGAAAAAAAAAACAAATAATGTGCCACATATTACAGTTACTTATGCATTGTGATTCTTTCAACATCCCAGTCTGTCCTGAATGAAACAAGAATGGACCCATCCTCACATCTAAAATCTTACAGGGATTCTAAATCAAACTTACAAAACTTTCTACAATCAAACTAATGCTATATACCTTAACAAAGTGGACTTTTTCCTCCTGCCAGTTGTCAAGAATTCTATGAGCCAGACGGGATCCTGTCTTCTCCTGGAACTCTGTTAGCAGGTCATAGACAAACGTAACATCCTCTGGAAGGTCAAGAGTCTCCAGGGCAACAGATTCCTGGTTACAACGCTGGTGGAACATCTTCAACCTATCATAGAAATAAATCACCATATCTCAAACAAGTCCTTAATTATACACCTAAACCTAAACCTAAAATAAGTGACACATCAGTTTGAAATTTGAGAATTCCTCTGAAGAAATAATGCAATTATAATCTTTAACTCTCAAATCAAAGATGGTTGTCTGTCTGATCAGTCCTAAAATCAAAAGGGCACAACTAGGTACCATGGATAGCATACATTTGCAAATTGAGAAATATCCATTCAGTTCTTCTGAAGAAATAGCAACAACAAACATACATTGCCAAAATTCAAGCGATACACCTGTCAGCCATTTTGCTTTTCTGATCAGTCTCCAAATCAACAAGAGACCCCAGAGCGATCTTGGCACCAACCATTGTTTGATCTTTATTTGTTCTTTGAAAGTTGGATCTTTTCCCTTCTTTTCTCCTCTATTTTCACTCAAAGTTATACAAAATCTGTACATTCCTCGGAAGATATAGTCCTTTAATTATTTTTATCATCTCTAATGGCCAAATCGAAGATGGTTGTCTGTCAGCCATTTTCTTTTTTGTGATCAGTCCCAAAATCAAAGGGGTACAACTAGGGACCAAGGAGAACCTAAACGTGAAATTGGAGAGAGATCCATCCAACACTACTGAAGAAATAGCAATAACAAACTGTTATTGTTGAAATCCAAGATGGCCACCAGTCTGCTCAAAATATATGGCACAACTATGGAACAAGGAGAACATACATATGAAATTTGAGAAAGATCTTTTCAAGAAATAGTTATAACAAAAATTGCTTATGGACAAAGGGACAGAGGACAGACCATGGACATAGGGGGAATTGAATAGTTCACCATCTGATGATGGGGGATAAAAAAAAACTTTTTAAGAAATAGCAATAAAAATGATTATCTAAGGATGAATGATGGATGGAGGGAGGACAGATGCAAGGCTATTGAAAAGATGATGGATTTAAAATTTAGTCATTTGAAGATCTCATTTATATTTCTTTTTTGTAATCCAACTGTTAAAAATTTAGCCGAGGAAAATAACCCAGCTCTGATAGTAAATGTTTTAAAGCTTGAACTTACTTGTCATATACATAAGCAATGCCACCAGACATTCCAGCTGCAAAATTCCGCCCAGTTAATCCTAGAACGACAACTCTGCCTCCAGTCATGTACTCACAGCCATGATCACCACAGCCCTGTCAGGAAATCAAGAGATCAACTATGAGGCCGTACAAGAGGTTCAAAATATAGTTAAAGTATACCAATTTCTTAATTTCATTGATTTTAAATCAGATGAAGCTTTCAGAAAAAGAACAACTCTCTTATAACATTACCATTGGTAAGGTTTCATTTAATGGAAAGTGCAAGTCGTACATAAATAATCTAGCACAGTATTTAGTGAGGAATGATAAAATAAGTACTACTTAGAAAAAAGAGCTGGAATGATGCTTAGTCTTTGTATAACTGCATCATCTAGATTCTTACCCAAAATAAGGTCAAAATGAGAAAGAAAATGTCAGAACTGAATTCTATATCATCAATCAGCTTATAAAATACTGTTTCAGTATGATATAGGGTGATAAGACATGGATACATACCTCACAGACAGCTGTCACTCCCGAGTTACGGACACAGAACCGCTCCGCAGTCTGTCCACAAAGGAATGCCTTTCCTGATGTAGCTCCATACAGGACAACATTGCCAACAATGATGTTCTCCTCAGAGCAGAATGCTGGAGACATGTCCTTTGGAGGGTAGATCACAATCTCTCCTCCAGACAAACCCTACAGAACATTGACATCATTTTATTTCAGCTTACTAATACTACATTATATTAATTTAAATGCATTTTCACCATAATGATCACTTAAAACACTCTAATTTTCGTAATTTTCTCCCAATTAATTACAAATTGATGCAAGTTTTTTACAGCCAAGAATCCCAGCTGACAAATATCTGTACCTTTCCAACATAATCATTAGCATCACCCTCCAAGGTCACATGGATGCCCTTGGCCAGGAAGGCACAGAAGCTTTGACCTCCTGACCCCTTCAGATTGATGAGAATACTCTTGTCTGGGAGTCCATCCTCTACAGTCTTCCTGTAACACCAGCTCTAACAATTAGTTTGTACTTTTGTCTTTTCATATACTGTGAGTTTCATTTTTATTGGAGACCACAATTTTTCTAATTTAAAGCTATCTTTATATTTTGTGAATTCTCAATCTTTGAAAATATGAAAATCAGAACATTTTCCTCATTCATCAAACTTTTTGTACTATAAAGGATCATCTCACATCACCATCTTTCCCCTAAATGATAATATTTCCAATGATCATACTTTCCTGACTCTATCATAGCTCTACAATATTATAATACTTTCCTGGTATGATCCAGTCAAGGTCAATGATAAATAAATTCCTGATAATAATTTTCAGTACTGTAACTGTAATATATGGTAAAATATGTCTCACTCATGTGAAGAGACTATAATAATATTCTGAGTATAGCCTAAGGATGAAGAGATGTGTTAAAGAATCTACAGAAAAAATGTCTTACTGGGACACATAGTAGCTAAGTGTGGCTCCAAAGGTGCGGTCCTCATTCCTGATGGTTGTATCTATGACAACTTGTTTTTCTTGACCTTCAATGACCTTTCGTGCTTTCTCCAACACTTTGTAATCCTGCAGAATATGTCAGCATGAGTCAGCAACATGTGTATGAGGAAGATTTTCTGTTAATATAATTATACACGCAGGTCACAGAAAATATCTATCAACATTACAGAGATATATAAGCAAACATACCAGTCGATTCTCCAGGTTGAACTCCTGCGACATGCTGCCTCCAACAATGTTGGTATCAGGGCGAAGGTCTAGTGCGTTTTTCAGCATAGCTTGGTAGTCTAGAAGACCAGCTTTTGGATTCTCTGGGTCAGGGTTAAAAGCTAATCTGTCTGTACGTCCCACAAGTTCCTGGAACTTTCTCAATCCCATCTTGGCCATAATCTCTCGGATCTTATAAAAAAATAAGTCCCAACATAACATCAATATTAATGCAATTCTTTATTTGTATTGTCCTCTGGTATGCAAACATTTTTACTTCTACACTCACAAGATTGAAAGGATAATCTGTAGAAATTTCTGGAAAATATTTTTTTTCTAAAGTCTAATGCAGGAAATCACCTATGAGAGTCAAGATTCTTGTTTCTTTTTCTTTATGATTTCACACTGCATAATGGACCTGAGAGTTAGATTTAGGATGGGATGTCAAACTTCTTACCTCCTCAGCAATGAAGAATAGATAGTTGACAACATATTCAGGTTTTCCAGCAAATTTCTTCCTGAGTACAGGATCCTAAAAGTGTTAAGGAAAATACATTTCAATGATGTTAATATCATTAGTATAAATATATGTAAATATATATATATATAGTTGATTTTCATCATATCACTATTATATTTTATTCCCATTTTGGTCATTACAAATCCAGGTAATCAATACCTTACCTGTGTTGCTATTCCAGATAATTGATACCTTACGTTGGTTGCTATGCCAGGAACTCAATACCTTACGTTTGTTGCTATGCCAGAAACTCAATACCTTACCGATATGCCAGGTAATAAATGTTTCACATGTGTTGCTACACTTGGTAATCTATATCTTACCTGTGTTGCCACGCCAACAGGACAGGTGTTGAGATGACACTTCCTCATCATGGTACATCCCATGGCTATAAGCGGGGCAGTACTAAAACCAAATTCATCAGCCCCCATCATCGCGGCGATCACAACATCCCGACCTGTTGGAACAAAACCACAGTCCTATCATAAATTGTCATAAGATAAAAAATATCAGATATGATGTGTTTTATGAGCTAACACTATAACATGTCTTAGTGATATCTGTGGTAACACCCTGTTAACTAATCATCTTACTATCAAAGGCAATAAAGAAATACTCATAATGTAAAAATACCTAAATTTGTTACATAGCTTTACAAATAATGTATATATGGTAATTCAGACAACTAGAATACCTGTCCTAATTTGTCCATCAGCCTGAAGAACCACTCTTGACCTAAGGTCATTCATGACAAGTACTTGGTGTGTCTCCGAGATACCCAGTTCCCATGGTAACCCAGCATTCTTTATACCAGTCCAGCTGCTGGCCCCAGTACCACCATCATGGCCAGAGATTGTGATGTGCTCAGCATGACCCTGGGAATTAATACACCAGCTCATCATGTTACTTTGAAACTATAAAAACATCTATCCATTAACAAAACGTTTTACTCAATAACCATAAAAAACACACCTTTACCATTCCTCATAAAAATTATATGACCTCATAATTCTTAAAAACATACTCTATATTCTTTGGTTGTTAGGGAAGGGAGGACAAAGTACGGCACTATTGTTGTTTTGAATATGGTTACACAAGTGTACACTTATATTTTCATTTCAAACATGAATGTCTATGAAAAGGTATATGACATGTCACAGCCTGATAAGGCTATAAAATTTATTTCAACCTTACCAGCAAACCCTAAAATATCATTGCAAGTTCAGCACTTGAGTAACATATACAGTCACTCTTTTCTTTGTTTTTTTGGTGTTTCTCTTTTTAATCAATCTCGATTCATTAGATATGATGGCCAAAACAGTTACCTTGGCAACCCCAGCTGCGATGATGCCCACACCAACCTCTGACACAAGCTTAACACTGATCCTAGCTTTGGGATTGGCACACTTGAGATCATATATCAACTGAAACAGGAAGAAACAAAATCCATGAAACAATACTATAATAATCATAATGTTTGGGTGGTTTTCTTTTTTTTTTCTTTTGAATTTTTTGGGGATGGATTAACAGCACATAAAGTAGATACCCCTAAAATAAACTAGATAAAGTATTACCTTGTCTGGTTCCTACGCTTTGTGAAAAGGAATGACACAGTGGATACTTGATAATCCCAGCCAATATTGCCTAGATTATCAATTTTCCTGTCTGCAAAGTTTAGTGAAACTGCCAATTTAACTGGAGTTATTTCTCTTGATTACATAAAAAATGTCGTCAGTATGATACTATTGCCATTTTGGTTGTTTTCAAAATGTATTTGTCTTTTATTGTCTTATCATGTTTTATTATTATAAATAATAATGAACTGAAATTTGTTTTTTATAGAAGTAAAATATCGCACAGAATTAATTTAATGTCTGCTTGATAACAATAGTGATGTTTTCTCAAAAATAAATATAATCTCATGCTCCCTGAATATGTTATGCACTGTATATAGTTTATTTATGTGTGTTTTGACATGATGTGGATGCTAATTTCCCAATGATTAAGAAAATTTGTTGTCCTCAGGAACTATTCCATTTGTAGGAATTTTTTTGTTTTTGTTTTTTGCAGAAACAACATTTACCGAATTCTGAACACTAACCTACATGTATGGGCGGGAGATTCATTGATTTAAAAATAAAATAATATGATTAAAAAAATGATATATATTTTTTCTGTTAATTCACGCTCATATGCATCTAATCTAACGTAATAATTACAACTCTTTCTTTTACTGTTTTTAATTTTATTTTGATTTAATGCTAAAACCTTAATTTATTTGATTTTACGACCTTTTTATTTGATTTTTCAAACAAAACTCAACTTTCAATCATTACTATCAGGTTGTATTTCTAACAATTCATTTTCAGGGGGACTGGGATTTTACCTCAGCGAGATCCTCTATGGAATAGATGTCATGATGAGGGGGAGGGCTGATGAGCCCCACTCCTGGGACAGAGTGACGCGTCCTGGCAATCTCCTTTGATACCTAGAAAATAACACAATTTCAATATCAATGTGTTCTGATACCTCGGTTATTCATTATATAAATCTGCTGTCTATAAAACTATTTCAATTCCTAGAAATAAGTAGTAGTTCTCGGATAAACTGAGATGTATTGTTTTATCTGAAGATATGTACCTTATGACCAGGTAATTCTCCTCCTTCACCTGGCTTAGCTCCCTGGGCCATCTTGATCTGTAGCTCATCAGCATGTGACAGGTACGAGCTGGTCACTCCGAACCGGCCAGAGGCTACTTGTTTGATGCTTGACCTCTTGTTGAACATGGGGTCATCATTGTTGAGGTAACGGTCAGGGTTCTCTCCCCCCTCTCCAGTGTTAGACTTGCCTCCTACACGGTTCATTGCTACAGCTAGTGTGGAGTGGGCCTCGATAGACAGACTTCCAAAACTCATAGCACCTGACATGGCATAAATACATAGCAATAATTCAACAGACCTTTGGCAACTGCCACAAACAAAGGTTCTAGAGATGATCATCATATTCCACAAAATAGTCATTCTGGATATTTCAACAATCTGAAGCATTGTCTTTTCTTAATGAGTAAATCAGTTGAGCTTGTAAACTTTCATACCTATGATAGAATGATTTTTATTCCTAAGGAAAACACTAATTTATGTATATCTAGTCACCCTTCCCAATTCTCTTACAGACAGGGAATACACCTTGTCTAATTACCTGTACAGAAACGTCTAACAATGTTGGCTGCCTCTTCAACCTCGGACACATCCAAAGGTTCCTTGGCGTAGACAAAGTCTAACTGACCACGAAGTGTACATTTCCTCACACTCTCCCATGATGACTCCGTGAATTTGGAATAGGAGTTCTTGTTTTTATTTTTAGCAGCATCCTGTAAAGACGATGAAATTATTTTAATTACTTAGTAACTGTTGAAAGTAAGTAACAAGAAATTGATTTTTTTTATTTTCTTTTCATTTTACTCTTGAAACTGTTTGACTGTTTGATGGTATGATTAAGAGATTAAATATTCTGCTATGGTTGTTAATGTGTTTCACTATACTTGGAGGTTAAATGTTGAGGTACCTAACTCTAACTATAGATTACTTTCAAACTAAAAGACATCCATGTGTTGCCTTAAAGTTGGTTATATTTGCAGGAGATTTGCTTTCAATATATTCATAGTCATTAAAAATAGCTCAAAAATAAATACACTGAAAACATCTAGAAGCGAATCAAAGGGAATCTATATATAGGCCTATACGCACAGATACTAATATATCGACATGCAAAAAATTTAATCACCGTGAACTAGACCAAACCCGAAGAACCATGAAATATAAGTCCTGCAAGATTAGACAACTACACAGTAAACTGTGTTTCGGTGTTTTGACTCGCTACCTAAACAGCTACAGATGAAATGTTGACCCTGACTATTTACCTGAAGGTTAGCTATTGACCGAGGGTCATTGATGTGTTTTTCTCCACCATCTCTCCAGTGGTAGAAGCCAGGGTTCATGATAATCGCATCGTCACATTCCCTTTCGGAGTACGCCTGCTGATGTCGGTTGAGGACCTATTTGGGTACAAATTCTTTATCAGAGACCTACACTATTGTCTATATGTGGTTATTCATTATACAATGTACTTATAACCTTATAACCTTGTATACATATTTGTTTTAACAATAAAACTAGGTATCAGACATGCTGTCATTGTAGAAATTTAACACTTAGGTACCGGAGACACCTAGTAATGTATAATTCCATAGTATTGTTATATCTGTGGTTTCTTTTGAAAATTGTCAATCGCAAAATTTATCAATAAACTAATACCTTATTTTCACTTTTAAACCTTCAAAGGACATAAACAAAAATATAACACAATTTCTGAATAAATACACTGGTTTTAAAATGTTGATTCTTCATCATTCACATCATGACTTAATCTACAACAAAAATGATGTCATGATGATGTGTACAAATGTATTTATCATCGGTAAATCAATCACTCCGCCACCTATAACCAATAACATAGCTGTATACCTACCTCATTAGCCAGTTCCTTGAAGGTGACCCCTCCTATACGAGAAGCTGTACCCTTGAAGCATAGATCCACTACCTCCTTATGCAGTCCTACTGCCTCAAAAATTTGCGCCCCCTACAACAATAACAAATATTCAATTTTATTCATCGAAATAATATTGAAAACATGTATGGCAATCATAGCCAGTTGAACATTATATTCATTACTTCTTTACCCTTCATTAACCTCAAATTGTGTTTATGTGAAGTTTAAACATTGATGTTATGACTGCAGATGAAATATTGATAAAAAAATGATATTTTGTACAAACTTTGATGGTGACTTGATATTAAAAGAATACTGACATATGGTACACACACACTACCTAGCTAAGAAACTGAAATTATGTCACTTGCTATTTCATCCAACACTTGGAAAATGATAGGAAAGGACTTTTTAAATTTTTTTATATATATTTAAGTTATTCTTTGGACGTATTTTGTTTGAAAGTACTTAGGTAAGATTTCTGATGAAATAAGTACAATGTCTGTTTATAGTGTATTTGTGAGGTTGTTTGTAACTTTTATTTACTGTCATCAATCATCCTCATAATTCCATGGGTTGTGATTTCTTAAACTTATCAGGAATGTAAACATGAAATATTCAACTTAACAAAATTACAGACCTATGTTATGATGGAGACCCATTGTCTCTGAGTGTATATGATGGAGACCCGTTGTCTCTGAGTGTATATGATGGAGACCCGTTGTCTCTGAGTGTATATGATGGAGACCCGTTGTCTCTGAGTGTATATGATGGAGACCCGTTGTCTCTGAGTGTATATGATGGAGACCTGTAGTCTCTGAGTGTATATGATGGAGACCCGTTGTCTCTGAGTGTATATGATGGAGACCCGTAGTCTCTGAGTGTATATGATGGAGACCCGTTGTCTCTGAGTGTATATGATGGAGACACGTTGTCTCTGAGTGTATATGATGGAGACCCGTTGTCTTTGAGTGTGTATGATGGAGACTCGTTGTCTCTGAGTGTCATTCCTACCTTGTAACTATGTAGGGTTGATATACCCATCTTAGCCATGACCTTGGATATTCCTCGAGCCACAGCATCACGGTAGTTACTATAGACCACATCATCTGACAGAGGTGGTGTCAACAACGCCTCATCCCTCAGGCGTGCAACAGTCTCAAACACCAGGTAGGGACAGATGGCATCTACACCATAACCCAACAATGTACAGATGTGGTGTACCTCCCTGTTGTAGTCAAACATACATGTACATTGTATATCAACATCTATCTTAAGAAATTGTCAGCCAACCTACCACAAAACTTTAACCATATATATGATACACCTTCAGCAAGTTAAATTGTACAGTGAATTGAGCTCTTATGTAGAATCGGATACAAAATGTCCTTGTAGAACATCTAAAATTCAACCACTCTAATATCAGTTCATTTGTACTAAATAACCACTCTCACCTGGCTTCGCCGGTCTCCAGGATCAGTCCAACCTTTAGGCGGAGCTTCTTGTCAATCAAATGATGATGGACAGCTCCCACGGCCAATAGGGACCTGATAGTAAAGATATTGGGCAAGTCTCAGAACAAACAAACAAAACAAATGTTCTAATAATAAAATCAAAATCATTTTAAACACAAATTCATTTATAAACTGACCCTTACAGATAAAAACTTGAAATTTCAGTAAAGATATGCCTTAACTATATCAAGATGAAATCATTCACATGCATAACTATCTAAAAATATGAAATTTTAACCATTTAGTCTCTACAGGATTAGCTTTACAGACAGCAAGCTTTACAGTATTGCAACATGGACCTTTAATGCCAAATCAGTAAAACTTGAGGTACAGGAATGTGGACATTTAAGGCCAAGTCAGTAAGACTTGAGGTACAGGAATGTGGACATTTAAGGCCAAGTCAGTAAGACTTGAGGTACAGGAATGTGGACATTTAAGGCCAAGTCAGCAGTAAGACTTACGGTATTGGAATATGGTCCTTTCCAATTTGACGGTCAGTCAGACAGATTAACTGGTATTCCTCTGCAGCTTCAGCAGCCTCCACGCACACTCTGTGAAGAGCAGGACTGACCCCTTCTGGTCCCTCACTGACTGGGAATGTGATGTCTATCTGCTTTGTCTAGAATTTAATGATTCAAAATCAGAGTATGCTTCCCTTTAAAAATGCAAATGGGCTTCTCTCCTATACTTATTTGTATATTATCATACCTATATTTATATATGTCTATATATCAAACTTTATTTATTTGAACATTATGAAATGATATAAAAACATAAACACTTTATAAGTCCATTTATAAGCAGCAAAAGAAAGTCCCACTAACAGAAGGACAATTCATTTCTCCATACACTGATTCTACTGTCTATCAGTCTGATGACTTACCCTCCATCCTCTGTGGGTGGTATACTTGAGCACCTCCATGTCCTGTAGTGACAGAATTGGCTGGTTCAGCCATAGTCTCTTACACTGTTCTGATGATGGTGACAGGATGTTGGCCTCCGGACCGATGGGACATGCCTGTAGCAAAGATCAGTGGTTTTAATCAAGATCTTATTTCTGTATTGTCAGTAATAATTTTTTCATGAATAATGATATATAGGCTACCAGTATGAATAACCAAGCCGATAATTTTTTTATAAACATTTCTCTTTAATCTAATGCAGTTTTAAGCACCAGAGCTCCAACATCAGTAAATATTACCTTTATATACAGAGTTTTTGTTCAGTGTAACTTACCAGTGACATGACAATTTTCTCTCTAAATGGATCTATAGGTGGGTTGGTGACCTGGGCGAACAGCTGTTTGAAGTAGTCAAAGATGAGAGGACTATACTGAGACAAACATGCTAGAGGAGCATCATTTCCCATCGAGCCCAGCGCTTCCTTCCTGTAATAGTGATATTTGTTTACAAAGCTAAAATTGTAAAATATATTCTTATTTCTTAATGAAGAAAACCACAAAAAGCTCCCCATTCCCTCCTCAACCACCTTATGTAGATTTCTTTTATCTACCATATATGATATATATTCTGTTGTAAGACTCAACACTGTTAAACAAAAGACATCAACAGCATGAAAAATGTTTAACTGAGTTATCCAATCAGATAACAGAGGATTAGCCCAAACCTTTATATCACTGCCGTACTTGAAACAGTGCCAAGCAACATGCCGATAATAACCAGGTGAAATAAGTCTTACTCACTTTTCCTTTACCATAGGAAGCACCAGGAGATTGATGGCTTCTACTGTATAACCATACAGGGCCAGACGTCTGTCCTTCTCCAGGAATCCTCCATGATCATACTCCTCCACTTCTAACTGAGGCTGAGTTACCACTTCCCTAGGGACGTGTGCCTCGGTTAGCTCACTCAAAGACATTGTCTAGGGAACAGGGAAAAAATATCTGATCAAAATTGTCAACAGAACTGAAAAAGCTTACTCAGGTACAATGTCAACACAACTGAAAAAGCTTACTCAAGTACAATGTCAACACAACTGAAAAAGCTTACTCAGGTACAATGTCTACAGAACTGAAAAAGCTTACTCAAGTACAATGTCTACAGAACTGAAAAAGCTTACTCAGATGCAATGTCTACAGAACTGAAAAAGCTTACTCAAGTACAATGTTTACAGAACTGAAAAAGCTTACTCAAGTACAATGTTTACAGAACAGGAAAAGCTTACTCAGGTACAATGTTTACAGAACAGGAAAAGCTTACTCAGGTACAATGTCTACAGAACTGAAAAAGCTTACTCAAGTACAATGTCAACACAACTGAAAAAGCTTACTCAGGTACAATGTCTACAGAACTGAAAAAGCTTACTCAAGTACAATGTCTACAGAACTGAAAAAGCTTACTCAGATGCAATGTCTACAGAACTGAAAAAGCTTACTCAGGTACAATGTCTACAGAACAGAAAAAGCTTACTCAGGTACAATGTCTACAGAATTGATAAGCTTACTCAAGTACAATGTCTACAGAATTGATAAGCTTACTCAGTTACAATGTCTACAGAATTGATAAGCTTACTCAGGTACAATGTCTACAGAATAGAAAAAGCTAACTCAGATGCAATGTCTACAGAACTGAAAAAGCTAACTCAGATGCAATGTCTACAGAACTGAAAAAGCTTACTTTTTTAAAAATCTATTTCATTCTTCGGTATTTGCACACAACCTTTTTTTTATTTTTTTCATTCTCACAAATATTGTGAATCATGAAACGCCAGATCCTTTCAATTGTGACCTACCTCTTCTGTCAGCCATTTCTGGTTGGGGCGGAGAGTCGCAATCTGTGCCTTGAGAACATCATCTTTCATAAAGGTTTTCTGGTGTGTGTCTACAAGTAACATCCGACCAGGCTTAAGACGACCCTACAACAAAGTTTTATCTCTGGTCAGATATCTAACAATCTTTCACCAAACTTTCACTAATTTCCTGGTGTCAATGCATTTATTATCCACAATGATGACTAAACCATACATAGTGTACATACAGATCAATTCAACTCCAAATTCCAAACATGTGCAACAAATTATTAAAAGTAGTTAGTACATTGTATCACATACCATTCCTCAATGTTGAGGAAATCTGTAGACTTGAGATGTTTGATATATGAGGAACCATGCACCTGTCTGTGTATTTTGATAGCCCCCTACTTTGAGAATGTTAGAACTTCAAAACATACCCTCTGTACGACCTCACAAGCCATGTGTATGTGGCTAGATTCCACTGAGACAGAAAAAAGTTAGTTCAGTGGTTAGATTATACTGAGACCTACCTTCTGTATAACCTCTGAGTTTGGGATGTCCACTACCCCGACCTCACTAGCCATGTACATGTGGTTAGATTATACCGAGACCTACCTTCTGTATAACCTCTGAGTTTGGGATGTCCACTACCCCGACCTCACTAGCCATGTACATGTGGTTAGATTATTCCATGACCTGAGTTTGGGATGTCCACTACCCTGACCTCACTAGCCATGTACATGTGGTTAGATTATACTGAGACCTACCTTCTGTATAACCTCTGAGTTTGGGATGTCCACTACCCCGACCTCACTAGCCATGTACATGTGGTTAGATTATACCGAGACCTACCTTCTGTATAACCTCTGAGTTTGGGATGTCCACTACCCCGACCTCACTAGCCATGTACATGTGGTTAGATTATACCGAGACCTACCTTCTGTATAACCTCTGAGTTTGGGATGTCCACTACCCCGACCTCACTAGCCATGTACATGTGGTTAGATTATACCGAGACCTACCTTCTGTATAACCTCTGAGTTTGGGATGTCCACTACCCCGACCTCACTAGCCATGTACATGTGGTTAGATTATACCGAGACCTACCTTCTGTATAACCTCTGAGTTTGGGATGTCCACTACCCCGACCTCACTAGCCATGTACATGTGGTTAGATTATACCGAGACCTACCTTCTGTATAACCTCTGAGTTTGGGATGTCCACTACCCCGACCTCACTAGCCATGTACATGTGGTTTGATTATACCGAGACCTACCTTCTGTATAACCTCTGAGTTTGGGATGTCCACTACCCCGACCTCACTAGCCATGTACATGTGGTTAGATTATACCGAGACCTACCTTCTGTATAACCTCTGAGTTTGGGATGTCCACTACCCCGACCTCACTAGCCATGTACATGTGGTTAGATTTGGTCACATAGAATCGTGAAGGTCGCAGACCATTCCTATCTAAGATGGCACCAATGAATCTTCCATCAGAGAAAGTTAACAGAGCTGAAATAAAATTTGTTCAAGAAATGTAACACACATCAATCTTTGTTTTAATAACAATTTGTTGTGGTTAGGATGATAAGAATATATATTGCTGATTCTGCTTTTTAAATCATTCCTTATGATGATGGTGATCTTTTTTAAATTTTAAAGACAAATGATAAAAGGAAAAATCTGAAATCATCTCCAATGAAGTAACAAGTTATGAAACCTTATTTTTCCAACAAGGACAATTATACTATATATTATTATATTCACATCCTCTTTGTCTTTTAAATGTTTAATGGCTGTGGTTATTATGTTTTGTATAAGTTAATTAGTCATTTGAATGTTTGATGTCTGTGGTTATTAAATGTACAGGTAACATGCACCAATATGTAATTACCTCAATGTAAATACACTGTGATGCACATACAGAAAAAAAAACAATCATTAAACATATATCATTGTTACCTGTAAATTTCTTAATACTTTTTTTTTCCACCAAAATAATAAATTATGCATTGTACGTTTGAACTGAAAACAAATCCTCTGTTAAAATTTGAGTGAAGTTGAGGTTTAGCTACAATTTATAACCGATCACTGACCTGGCCCATCCCAGGGTTCCATAGCAAAGGCACTCCATCGGTAGAATGCCTTCTTGTCTTCAGACATAGTCTTGTCATTCTGCCAGGCCTCTGGTACCATGGTCATGACAGCCTGTAACATACCACCACCATCAGACTTATTACAACTCCTGATAAATCACTGTTGTTGTGATGGTCGTTCTTGTGTACATATGTATTTGAAGATTATTTCGACTTTTAACAGAACTATCATGACTTTAACAATATCTATGATTCTTTAATGATAAATTGATCCCTTCACAACTTCCTGAAAAAGAACAAACAGTACATACATATTGTAATATGCAAGCTTACTCTCCAACTCCACATTTTCAAAATGAACAAATCATTCATCTAGATAAAGACAATTTGAAAGAAAATTAGACAAAATTCAGCTTTTTATTGTCAAACATTCATATGTGTCAGAAACACTCACAAATAAAATATGCTTGGATAAAAATGCTTCTTAAATTTGTCATGACAACATGACTTGAAATCAGAAGGTTTTTAAGAGGAAAGTAACAATGATTTCCTCTCTCACCTCAGGAAGTTGGCGTCCACCAGCCATACAAAGGAATTCCAGCACATTGTCAACACAGCCGGAGTCAGACATGCCTTGCTCGACAACAGGATACAGGTCTTGTAACATGTCCCCGTATACATCGCTGCTCATTACTCCCTCTCGTGCACGCATCAGGTTATTGTTCCCACGTAGGGTGTTGATTTCTCCATTGTGGGCAAGGTACCTTTATAAGTACAAGGAACAATAGCACTTGTTTCTCCTCCCATGAGAAGTGTGTAATGACCTGACAATCTCAAATCAAACTTTACAAGAAAACATGTGATATTCATGTGAAAATATCAATCAATAGAGAGCACCAGATTTTTTGTTTGTTTCCTCTCTTATGTTATCCAGAAATTTATCTAGGTATAAATGGTATGTAAATATTTAATGTGCAAGCATTGTGCTGCATTAAACCATAATAGTAAGGGTTATCTCCCCTACCTCTGAGGGTGTGCCCTCTCCCAGCTAGGGAATGTGTTGGTAGAGAATCGGCTATGGATAAGCGCAATGTGGGTTTCAAAATCTGGATCTCCCAAATCTTTGAAGTAGACCCAAAGCTGTGATGTTGTGAACTGACCCTGTAAAATTCAATTTTATTCTACCTGTACATCTGCATGGTAATCTTGTGATAAATATGCTGAATGCAAATAAGAAAAAAAACATAATGAGAAGGAATCTCATGGGTCTTATGTGTACAGACTTCGTCTCCAGCATGCATCTTATTGAATATTACATAGGACATCTTATTACCAAACTATTCATAATGATATACAAATATGTCTATGAGACTTTATGATAAACTATGTGTATGTGCCACTTAGAAAACAGGAATAATTGTTAAACCTTACAGTATAGCCTTGATACAAATCAAGTGATCTAGAATTTTTCTGTAAATACTCTTCTTCACTGAACCATGTTCCTGTTCACTCATTTGTGACAGTCCTTAATTTATACAAGAGTCACATAATCATTTAATCAACATTTTTAAACATATTAAAAAGTAGTTCAGGTGAAAAAAATAAGATATATGGTGATTATTTACTCTGTGTCAGTCTCACACATATAACCTTACAATTACAACATAACAGAAAAAAACTGTGATTCTTTGAAACCCTAATACATAACTTCAAATTTTCATGAAAAATATCTCCTCTTTACATGTTGATCTGAATATGTAGGAATAAATATTTTTAAAAGCTTATACCAAAACTATGTTACTTCCTAGAATAAAAACTTTTTAAATTCCTTTTATTTTTGTATTACAATTTCTGCTTTTAACTTGGAGTGTATTAAGCAATGAAAAGATGTTGACAGATAAAATATTCTGACATGAATTGAAAAAAACTGAATTCAGAGGGTTTGTATGCAGTTAATGATAAAATCTTTGTAACAACAACTATAAACTGCTACATTTATAAATCAAACTGGTAGCATCTGACGCTCTAAGGTTAGACTGCTAATGACATAAGGTTACCTAATTTGTGACTGAAGCCCGATACCAACTATTTGTATGTTGGCCATGTCAGAAAGGTTTAAAGGCAATTTTAGTAATAATCAAAATATACAAAACCATTTTTATTTAATCTTTTTAATTGACAACAATACATTTTTTATAACTGGTTCACAAAATGGCACACAATCCAGAATGGTAGTCAGATAGACATACTGTTTTGTTGATTAGTCCCCACATTCACCACACAACTAATGACCAGCAAGAGTTTACATAAAGAATATTAAATGTACATCCTGAACTTTAAAGAAATAGCCATAACAAAAAAGGTTCAAAGATGGACAAATATATTGATGGAGACATGGGCCACAGACCATTTGCCCATGAATTAGGGTAGTAAAAATTATACCCGTGATCCTTTTTGCATGTTGGTAAAAGAAAATTGAATTGTGATATTTTTCTTTTCTCCTCTTTATAATCATTTTTGGCCATCCTTGTCATCTCATTTCTGGCCTTTGTATTAAACATTCATTCACCTCAGTGAGGATTAAAAGATTATAGGTTCTGTACTCTAACTAAGGTAAATCTAAGTCCCTGCCTGACACTCAGCTGTAACTAAAATGATGTAGGTTCTGTACTCTAACTAAGGTAAATCTAAGTCCCTGCCTGACACTCAGCTGTAACCAAAATGATGTAGGTACTTTTCCCTAACTGAGGCAAACCAAAGCTTCTCCTGGACACTTAGCTGTAATTAAATGATCATGGCTCTCTTCCCTAAATGAAGCAAAGCAAAAGTCTCTGCCTAAAATGATGACACTCTATGGTACCTGCCTGACACTCAGCTGTAACTAAAATGATGTAGGTTCTGTACTCTAACTAAGGTAAATCTAAGTCCCTGCCTGACACTCAGCTGTAACTGAAAATGATGCAGATTCTGTACTCTAACTGAGGCAAACCTAAGTCCCTGCCTGACACTCAGCTGTAACCAAAATGATGTAGGTACTTTTCTCTAACTGAGGCAAACCAAAGCTTCTCCTGGACACTTAGCTGTAATTAAATGATCATGGCTCTCTTCCCTAAATGAAGCAAAGCAAAAGTCTCTGCCTGACACTCTATGGTACTTAATACGAGTTTGCTGTAGGGATCTGGTTAGCCTTTGTAAGTGATCATTTTTACACCCCCGCCCCCATCACCATCACCCATCCCTCTATACCCTAATTCACCAATGGAAGGAAAGTCACAGTATTTATTCCTAACATTGAAGACTATATCCCTATTATGTCAAAACACTGATACAGACAATTAATTCCGTATTATGTAATATTCAAATGATGAAAGCAGAGTTTTCACATTTTTAAATTCTCAGATGTATCCACAGTGAATATATGAGTTGCACTTCATTTTGAATACATTAATAGTTTATCATCTTTACAATCTAAAAACAACAGTGTCAATATCCCTTTTATCCAAATCTGAGATTTTCTTTCTTGATATTATAACTTCCTTCTTGGTGATGCTTTTCAGCTAAATTAATAATATCCTTATCCATCTCCAAGGGAAGAAAAGGTCCTCCTTCATGATTTAACAAACTTATAAAATGAAGTATGTTTTGCAAGTCATTTTGTGCTATCACCTTAATAATATACAACATACACGTACCATCATCATTATGGTAATTAGTTTGATCAATAGTGGGAAGGACAGTGCTATAATTAGTTTTAGTAATGTTTTATTGATAAATTGGTTTCGATTTGATTAGACCAGACCCTATACATATTTAATAAAATCACTGTCAGCAATGCTATACTGACAATCTATATTGTGTGATGTTTGTGTTTATGTAGTCTGATCCAAAACTCCAAGCTGTGTAAGCTTACTCACATCATACCATATTTTTCAAAATTTGATAATTTATTTCATACTTCTTCAAATTTACAAACAATAAGTATTTATGTTGGGGTTAACATGTTTGTATGAGTTTTCAATAATCCAAATTAGAATTCTGAGTGTTTAGTATGTGTTATAAATATACCAGGTATTTTTTATTTTTTTCTGTTAAGCTGACCAAACGTTCAGAGCCTGTATTTGACTGGTATGTGTTAGGAAGTACACATGAGAGACATGCCTATAGCCTACTGCCCCATGTAACATAACCCTACCTATGTAGTATATACAAGTACATTGCAGACCTACTACCCTCCTTCTCAGTATTATTATCCTATGTTTGAACTCCTTTAACATTCTTTTCCTACATTTCTTCCCCGCGTGGACAATGTAACTGGCCTCTTTAATTCAAGGTCACGTACAAGGTTAAGACGACATAAATCTTTGTTTCTTTTACAACTCCTTTCCTTACATAACGTTTATCTATGTACACATACATTCCTTTATTTCCAGTGTTACTCAAACTTTGTCAGCAAAATAAAATAAATATCTTATATAAATATCATTTTTTTAAAATGATGTGGTAAATATTATCTTTATATATATAATTTTTTTTAATTTCCAATAAACAACATAACATTAGAAATATATCAGCACAATTCCTTTTTTCCTTTTTTTCTCCTTACAGGGTATAGAATTTTGTAAATAATATATGACAGTCTCAATAAGAGAAAGTTTCTGTAGTAAACCATTAGGAGTCTGGGTTCAATGAATGATGTCTGTGGAGGGTTCTGATGGGGGAGTCACCAGGTGATGGATGTGTAGGGGTCCTGAATGGGGAGTCACTTAGTGATAGGTGTGTACAAGGTTATGAAGTGTTGACTTCCAAATTGGGAAGTCACTGAGTAATGGCTGTGTGTGGGGTTCTGCATGGTAAATCACCGAGTGGTAGCTGTGTGTAAGGCTCTGAAGGGGGAGTCTCTGTAGAGTTCAGAAGGAAATTGAGTCACTGATCAAAATCTGTGTGTGGGGTTCTAAAGGGGAGAGCCACTGAGCTGTGTCTGTGTGTAGGGAACTGAAGGAGTGGTGTCACCAAGTGATGTCTTCATTGAGCTATGTCTGTTTATGATGCTCCAAAAAGGGGGGATTTCCTTATGTTTGAAGGGCTCTGAGTTGGAAAGTATACATACCTTGTACACAATAGTATCTGTAGATAGGGTACAGATAAAATATCTTAAGTCCTGCTCAGGTATATGATGAGAGCTGTACTTCCTTAGTAGATACACCTGCCAAAACATATGTTATTTAAATTTATTAACAAAACCTACATCACCAGTGTAAATGAAATAAGAGCTAAAATAATTCTAAATTTAAAAATTAAAAAATAAGCAACTGTGCAGTACATACGAACAGGTACTTCAATATAGTCTCTATGTTTTACAAAATTTTGGGAACAGGTGTCAATAAAATGTCAGTTTTAAGGCAAAATATATTTTAACCACAGTGAATATACATGTAGTTTAATTATCATACTCTACATACTAACATAACAGCAACATCTGCCTAAGACCTACACATCATGCATGCTGCCTTCAGTGAATTTTTTATCAGACATTCCCCCTTTTCAACTATCACCGCTAATCATCTAGGTGTTGGTATTTTCCCATTGCCTTAATGGTCCTGTTCTGATCTCTATTTTACAAGTACTTACCCTACATGATTATGTAAATGTATTTTTAATAATGTCCTTTAGAATACCCTGTACTTGTATAACTTACCTGTCGTTTGAACTCGTCAGCATCATCGCTACCAGTCACAAACACCTAAGGAAGAAGAAAAGTCAACTTATTCACCATAATCATGAAAGTTACAGCACATGATTTTTAATTATTGATTACATACAGGGAAAATCATTACTCGACCATTTTTTTTATTTTCAAATGGAGTATATATACTCTTTATGGTAGGTTTTGATCAGATTATGTTGCTTTTTTAAACTATTCCTTTACTCCCTTCTTCTTTTATGATAAAACTTAAATGATATGATGGTGAAAACACATACATAGACATATGATTTGAAAACAAATTATTTGTTTCTGTTGTGAAGTTCAAAGCAAAATGTCCCTATGAAAATCATGCTTTTAATGCTCAAATTTAGTTTTAGATCTGATGTTCCTGTTACACATTCTGACATAAAATGACACAGGTTTTATCACATAAACAGCATGACCTGAAAACACTATCCTGATTAAAGTAGCATTATTTTTGTAAAGATCTAAATACTGCATTTCAGCAAGTTATTGGCTTCCTTCCATGACTACAGGCACTGTCGTTCTTAAGAAGAAGTGGTTAGAGTGTTCTAACAAGTTTGACTAATTTTTGGTCAATAGTAAATAATTCTTTTTTCCAATTTTGCAGCACCCCATGCCTGCAAGATTCATGTATCACAACCCAAGACTTTTTCAGAAGGTCCTGTGAATCTAAAGCCAATACTGGTAGCATGACTCTAGGCCATTCAGTTCTTAGATGAGTCATTTTAATCATCTTGATCTTGTAACATGCAAATTTCATCAAAGCAGTTTCTTTTCTTTCTTTTAACCTTTAAGCATGAAGCACTTAATCACAGGAAGCTACCTGCCAAAGATTATGACTCTAGGCTTTACTGTTCTGCAGAAGACATTTATGCAATTTTACATTGAAATATTACAACTAAAAAAGTATGATTGAATAACATATATGATTGTGTATCAGGAACAGGATATGTTAAAATTTTACAGGGAAGGTATCACAAAACATAAGCCAAATGGATAGGTTACATTAGATATATCCCAAAACACACACACTGATCCAAATTTTTTTATTGTAAAATACAATTTAATTTGAAGTTACATCAAAAATGAAATTGCACACAATTTACACATTTTACAAAGTAATACTATATGACCGTGATAAATTAACTTATCTTGATACTATGTAACAAGTGTGTTGACAATCCTCTGTTATTTCTCTGTGTGATTTTAAATTAAAATTTACACAGAGGGACCACATGTTCAACATACCAGTACTACATTTGATTAAAAAGTTGATGGAAAAAAAAAATCGAATTGATCTTGCATAAATCAAACTGCGAAAATGTAACTTTCAGATTAAAAGCATTTTTTTTCCACTGTCAGAACAATAAATTCTAATCTATGTCATTTGAAAGCATGAATCTTTTTTGTGCTATGAACTTCACAGGAACAGAAAGGATCTGAAATTTTGAGAAGAGTGTCTCCAACATTAAAGCTTGATGAAGTCAATACTTGCTGTATTAGACAAACCTATTTACAGAACATTTCAGTCACGTGACTTTCAAGGGCAGGTAGAGGTGATCTAATCACATGATTGAGAATTATGGGCCGCCTCGGGGTTGGAAATTTCATCTCTCCCCGACTGCAGACCTTTCAATCATAAAAGGTTCGAAGCATCTCTGGAAAATATGTGAAATCCTCCAGGAAAAGTGCTGGCGTATGCGCCATTGCAACAAAAAAACACACACTGGTACAAAAAACTGGGTAAAAATCATATGTAATCATTCAGGGAAGTAGCTTTCTAATGCAGAAGTGGGATTAACCGACAATCATTCACATACTATACAAACAGATGGCATCATCGCACCGTTTATCACTAAACTTAATATAACTGTCATCAACATATTTACAAAGCATAAATTAATGTTTAGAATTATTAGTGCACATAAGTGACATTATAATACAAGAGGCCCATGGGCCTTAACGGTCATCTGACAAAAAGCAAGCCAAACCTAGAAAGTGGGTTGAGGTCATTCATTTGAACAAACTTGGTAGCCTCTCCTCCAAGCATCTTACAGGCCCAATATCAGCACTCATGGACTTTTGCTTGTTGAGAAGAAGTCGTTTGTATATTTTAACATATTTGACCCCTGTGACCTTGAAAGTGGGTTGAGGTCATTCATTTGAATAAACTTGGTAGCCTTTCCTCCCAGCATGCTACAGACCCAATATCGGCACTCATAGACTTTTGCTTATTGAGATGAAGTCCTTTGTATATTTTAACATATTTGACCCCTGTGACCTTGAAAGTGGGCCAAGGTCATTCATTTGAACAAACTTTGTAGGGCTCCATGCCAGCATGATATGGGCCAAGTATTAGCCCCCTAGGCCTTCTAGTATTTGAGAAGAAGTTATTTAAAGATTTTGACATATTTGACCCCTGCGACCTTGAAAGTTGTTCAAGGTCATTCATTTAAATAAACTTGGTAACCTTTCCTCCCAGCATGCTACAGACCCAATATCGGCACTCATAGACTTTTGCTTATTGAGATGAAGACCTTTGTATATTTTAACATATTTGACCCCTGTGACCTTGAATGTAGGCCAAGGTCATTCATTTGAACAAACTTTGTAGGGCTCTATGCCAGCATGCTATGGGCCAAGTATTAGCCCCCTAGGCCTTCTAGTATTTGAGAAGAAGTTATTTAAAGATTTTGACATATTTGACCCCTGTGACCTTGAAAGTTGTTCAAGGTCATTCATTTAAACAAACTTGATAGCCCTTCATCCCAGCATGCCACAAGCACAATATCAGCAATCTGAGCCTTTTGGTTATTGAGAAGAAGTTGTTTAAAGATTTTAACATATTTGACCCCTGTGACCTTTAAAGTGGTTCAAGGTCATTCATTTGAACAAACTTGGTAGTCCTTCATCCCAGCATGTCACAGGCCCAATATCTACACTCTGAGCCTTTTGGTTAATGAGAAGAAGTTGTTTAAAGATTTTAACATATTTGACCCCTGTGACCTTGAAAGTGGGTTGAGGTCATTCATTTGAATAAACTTGGTAGCCTTTCCTCCCAGCATGCTACAGACCCAATATCGGCACTCATAGACTTTTGCTTATTGAGATATATTTTAACATATTTGACCCCTGTGACCTTGAAAGTGGGCCTAGGTCATTCATTTGAACAAACTTTGTAGGGCTCCATGCCAGCATGCTATGGGCCAAGTATTAGCCCCCTAGGCCTTCTAGTATTTGAGAAGAAGTTATTTAAAGATTTTGACATATTTGACCCCTGCGACCTTGAAAGTTGTTCAAGGTCATTCATTTAAACAAACTTGATAGCCCTTCATCCCAGCATGCCACAGGCACAATATCAGCAATCTGAGCCTTTTGGTTATTGAGAAGAAGTTGTTTAAAGATTTTAACATATTTGACCCCTGTGACCTTTAAAGTGGTTCAAGGTCATTCATTTGAACAAACTTGGTAGTCCTTCATCCCAGCATGTCACAGGCCCAATATCTACACTCTGAGCCTTTTGGTTAATGAGAAGAAGTTGTTTAAAGATTTTAACATATTTGACCCCTGTGACCTTTAAAGTGGGTCAAGGTCATTCATTTGAACAAACTTGGTAGTCCTTCATCCCAGCATGTCACAGGCCCAATATCTACACTCTGAGCCTTTTGGTTAATGAGAAGAAGTTGTTTAAAGATTTTAACATATTTGACCCCTGTGACCTTTAAAGTGGGTCAAGGTCATTCATTTGAACAAACTTGGTAGAGCTCCATGCCAGTATCCTCTGTGCCAAGTATTAGCCCCCTAGACCTTCTAGTATTTGAGAAGAAGTCGTTTGAATGAAAAGTTTACGGACGGCGCACGGCGCACGGCGGACGGCGCACGGCGCACGGCGGACGACGACGGACGAAGCATGATGACTATAGGTCATCGGACCCTTCGGGTCCAGATGACCTAATAAAATAACTTGAATGGATATGTAGTGTGTTGGACCAAAAGGTGGAGCAAGTATAAAGAGACAGATAAATTTACAAATTACAGAAATCTTCATTGATGGTGTTACTACATTTCAGATCTGGCTTGAAATGACTCTATAGTTATGTAACTAGAAGTTATGTCAATTTCATGAAAATCAAACTATTTGTTTAAGGTGATATTTACAGTGACACACATTCAGGAAAGTCACTGGCAGAATCACTGAATTTCAGATGCAACTCATGAAAATATCTAGTAAGGATTTTTGTCGCAGAAGCACTGTATACAGTACACCTATATATAGTAATGTTAACGTGACCTTGATCTTTGACCCTCAGACCAAAAATATTAGCCCAAAAATGCATGTTCAATATACAAATTTATCTGTATAATATAGAGTGCTAAAGAGAATGAGAGCTAAAGTTATTGCATGGAAACCAGTATTCTGTTTATAGGAACAGAGACCTTGACGTTTGACCTGGTGAGCTGAAAAGCATTCCTATCCCCCAAGAAATTACTTTCAGTAAGGAGTCAGTTGTATGAAATTTGTGATGAACCTATGTTAAGGAAAAAAGTAGAGATCCCAGAGAAATCTTGGCACCCACCATTGTTTGTTCTTTGAATGTTGGATTTTCTCCCTTCTTTTCTCTACTCTTTTCTGTTTTTGATTTTAATGATAAAGAAATTCAACATTCCTTTCCAGAAATAATCCTAATTATCTTTTAACTGCCAAATCCAAGATGATCCCCGGGAAACCATTCTGTTTTTTTCTGATCAGTCCCAAAATCAAACAGGCACAACTAAGGACCAAAGGGAACCCACATAAAAATTTGAGAGAGATTCATTCAGTACTTCTAACCTAATAGCAGTAACAAACTTTAACAGGTGAAATCCAAGATGGCTAACTTTCAGCCATTTTGTTTTTCTTATCAGTTCCAAAATCAAATGGGAACTAGTGACCATGGGGGCCCTACATATCAAATTTGAGAAAAATCCATTTCTCAAGAAATAGCGATAACAAATATTTCTTACACACGATTGAAGGACGGGAGGACAACAGACCAGGGAGGTACAGCGAGATGACAAAACCAATGACTGACAGATCACAACTCTCTTCAAATAAACTTCTCCTGGACAGGTACTAAACAGGCCTATATACCATATATAACATAATCTATATTTTATAAACTTAACACCTGTATTAGGTATACAGAACCGTAGTTTAGGACTATGAGCAATATAAACTTGTATAGAGTAGGTCATCATCTACATGTATATCATAACAATTTAATTGATCATAATGATGCATGATATAACTATATGATGTCTGAGGATTTGAAAAGAAAAAAGGGAAAAAATTGCTAGAGCAAAAAAATCAACAATTTATCAAGTAAAATATATTGTAAACACATTACCAATATTTTATGTACAATTTACATGTGTACTGTATGAGTGTAATACACTGTTTATACATAATTAATATACATGTACCTACATCAGTATACTGTATATATCCTGTTATCATACCTATATAAGTATACTGTATATATACTGTTAACATACCTATATCAGTATACTGTATATATATACATGTATATCAGTATACTGTATATATATATCTATATCATTATGCTGTATATATACTGTTAACATACCTATATCATTATGCTGTATATATACTGTTAACATACCTATATCAGTATACTGTATATATACTGTTAACATACCTATATCAGTATACTGTATATATACTGTTAACATACCTATATCAGTATATATATATGCTGTTAACATACCTATATCAGTATACTGTATATATACTGTTATCATTACTATATCAGTATACTGTATATATACTGTTATCATACCTATATCAGTATACTGTATATATGCTGTTAACATACCTATATCAGTATACTGTATATATACTGTTAACATACCTATATCATTATCATTATGCTGTATATATACCTATGTTATACTATATGTATATATATACTGTTAACATACCTATATCAGTATACTGTATATATACTGTTAACATACCTATATATATACTGTATATATACTGTATACTATATCAGTATACTGTATATATACTGTTAACATACCTATATCTGTATATATACTGTATATATACTGTTAACATACCTATATCAGTATACTGTATATATACTGTTATCATACTGTATATATACTATATCTATATATATGCTGTATATATACTGTTAACATACCTATATATATCTGTATATATACTGTTAACATACCTATATCAGTATACTGTATATATACTGTTATCATTACTATATCATTATGCTGTATATATACTGTTAACATACCTATATCAGTATACTGTATATATACTGTTAACATAACTCTATTAGTATACTGTAAAGATACTGTATATATATTATTTACATACCTATATCAGCATATGCCTTTATCAGTACACTGTAAGTGTGCTCTATTTGTAGTGTTAAGTGTTAATATATAATTAAGTGTACTGTATACAATAGAAACACTGTTTATATACCTGAAGCATATATTCTGAATTTAGTGCACCATACATCATGGAAACAACTATTTCTGTGATGTATATATAGATATATCTAAGGCTACTTATTACAAGCATGTTAAGGCGAAGCAATCTCAGAAAATGAAAGTTATCTTTTCTGCCATCAAAGAATAAAGGAGAAATCTGATAACATGGCATTAAGTAAAACAAATGACTGCTAATTAAGCTTTAATTTATGACATATTTGTCTAATAATTGGACAGAACACGCCAGTAATTTACAGATGTTAAATACCTATCATTAATACTGTCACCATCATATAGTTTAAACAAGGTCCAATACAGTAGATATAGGTTTACTGTTGCCATGAAAGAAAATCATACATGGTACAAGAAGACCATTTTTGTGATGAACTAAGAACTTTGATTTTACCTGTAAAATAAAAGGTTCTAATGTCTTGGCAACCCTTCCGATCACGGAGTTGTCAACAGGTACATCCCTCCACGCAAGGATCTAAATACAAAGGTAAAATATATTGCAAATACATTTTATCAAAACAATACATGAGAAAGGACTCATGTAAATATAGCCCCACACTCAATCAAAACACAAGCCTTTTATTTACAAAGTGGTCATGGGTGACCTTTGACCTTTAACCTTGTGCAATGACAACCAAATTCTAATCAGGAGTTATCTTGATTGTATCATGTTGTGATGTGAATATGAACCAAATTGGTTCAGGGAAACAAGAGATATCTTGTCACAAAGTTATCATGGAGGATGTATGTACTCAAAGATGCAAGACAAAGTGACTCCTATATACAACGCCTACAATGCATACCTGGAGATTGTAGGTTGTCGCTATGGATGAAAATGCATCTTTGGTTTGCTGTAATTGGTCTTTATCAGCAAAGATCATTCCTGTAGCATAGCAACCTTCATTCGGCAGTTCAATGTTCTGTTCCTCTCTGAATAACAAAAACAAATATATGCCAGTAACGATTCTGATCATACCTGTACAGTTGATATCAATATCCATAGAAATATTTTTGAAATTATTTCAGGATAAACGCTTTTTTTTAACTCTATTCTATTTTAATTATTGTAAAGGTTAAATTTTCTATGGTAAAATTTTGTTTAACCAAAAAGCAAAAAGGATTTGGATTTCAGACAAACCCAAAAAATAACAACACAACCTCTGACTCAAAAGTAAAGAGGTGGGCTTATTACAGGATCCAGGGAGCCAACACATAACCTCTGACTCAAAGTAAGGAGGGGGCTTTCAAGAAGACTCCAGTGGGCCAAAAGATAACCTTTGACTCAAAGTAAGGAGGTAGGCTTATTACAGGGCCCCAGGGAGCCAACAAATAACCTCCGACTCAAATCAAAATTCATGAGATGGTGACAATATTGATGATTTACCACCATAGAACACTTTACTTGTGTCATGAACGGATTTACTGAAAATTTAGAAATATAACTATGCTAGTAACACATCAACACTGTATTATCTGTTTCAGCAAAGTTCTGTAAAGTGTATCTAAATGGAGGTTATCTACATTTCATGTTCAGTACAGCTATCAATAATGAAGCTTTTTTGTAACTTATTCATAATTTGTAGAATGGACCAGGTGTGCCATGATATTGGTAATGTAATTATGGCAGGAGGAGGATATATCACCTATGTTTATTTGTATAGGAGTCATGTGAGACACATGTACCTATGTTTATTTGTATAGGAGGGAAGGGAGACACATGTTCCTATGTTTATTTGTACAGGAAGGAAGGGAGACACATGTTCCTATGTTTATTTGTATAGGAGGGAAGGGAGACACATGCTCCTATGTTTATTTGTATAGGAGGGAAGGGAGACACATGCTCCTATGTTTATTTGTATAGGAGGAAAGGGAGACACATGTTCCTATGTTTATTTGTATAGGAGGGAAGGGAGACACATGCTCCTATGTTTATTTGTATAGGAGGAAGGGAGACACATGTTCCTATGTTTATTTGTACAGGAGGGAAGGGAGACACATGTTCCTATGTTTATTTGTACAGAAAGGAAGGGAGACACATGTTCCTATGTTTATTTGTACAGGAAGGAAGGGAGACACATGCTCCTATGTGTATTTGTACAGGAGGGAAGGGAGACACATGTTCCTATGTTTATTTGTATAGGAGGGAAGGGAGACACATGTTCCTATGTGTATTTGTATAGGAGGGAAGGGAGACACATGTTCCTATGTATATCTGTATAGGAGGAAGGGAGACACATGTTCCTATGTTTATTTGTATAGGAGGGAAGGGAGACACATGTTCCTATGTTTATTTGTATAGGAGGGAAGGGAGACACATGTTCCTATGTGTATTTGTATAGGAGGGAAGGGAGACACATGTTCCTATGTTTATTTGTACAGGAAGGAAGGGAGAAGGAAGGGAGACACATGCTCCTATGTGTATTTGTACAGGAGGGAAGGGAGACACATGTTCCGATGTTTATTTGTATAGGAGGGAAGGGAGACACATGTTCCTATGTGTATTTGTACAGGAGGGAAGGGAGACACATGTTCCTATGTGTATTTGTACAGGAAGGAAGGGAGACACATGTTCCTATGTTTATTTGTACAGGAAGGAAGGGAGACACATGTTCCTATGTTTATTTGTATAGGAGGGAAGGGAGACACATGCTCCTATGTGTATTTGTACAGGAAGGAAGGGAGACACATGCTCCTATGTGTATTTGTACAGGAAGGAAGGGAGACACATGCTCCTATGTGTATTTGTACAGGAAGGAAGGGAGACACATGTACCTATGTTTATTTGTATAAGAGTTAAGTGAGACACATATACCTATGTGTATTTGTACAGGAGGGAAAGGAAACACATGTATTTATATGTTTATTTGTACAGGAAGGAAGGGGACACATGTTCCTATGTGTATTTATATAGGAGTTAAGTGAGACACATGTACCTATGTTTATTTGTACAGGAGGGAAGGGAGACACATTACCTATGTTTATTTGTATAGGAGTTAAGTGAGACACATATACCTATGTGTATTTGTACAGGAGGGAAAGGAAACAAATGTATTTATATGTTTACATGTATTTGTATAGGAGAAAGGGGCAATACCTATGTGTATTTATATAGGAGTTAAGTGAGACACATGTACCTATGTTTATTTGTACAGGAAGGAAGGGAGACACATGTACCTATGTTTATTTGTACAGGAGGGAAGGGAGACACATGTACCTATGTTTATTTGTATAGGAGGGAAAGGAGGCACATGTATTTATATGTTTATATGTATTTGTAAAGGAAGAAGGGGAGACACTTTTACTCCCATGTATTTGTACAGGAGGGAGGGGAGATACCAGTACCTTATTATTTTATTGGATGAAGGGGGAGGGGGGGAGACATATGTACCTGCCTGTTGGAAGAAGGGGGAAGGGGGAGGATATATTTCATGCACCAATACACATGTATTTGCTCAGAGAAATCATGAGAAAAAACACCATGCAATGAAAATATTGCAGAAGACTGCAAATAAACAGGTTATCTATAAATACAGTGGAGATCTGGAAGAGATAAGATGACAGATACATCAACAGTTTGGTAGGGAGGAGCAGGGAGAGATGACAGAGTTTGAAGGAGGACCGGAAAAGATAACAGGAGTGAAAGAAAAAAAAGTGATTGGGAAACAGGGATATAATGGGAAGGAAAAGAAACAAGGAGAGGAAGGAAACAGGGAGAGATGACGGGTTGGGAAGCAGGGAGAGATGACTGGTTGGGAAACAGGGAGAGATGACAGGTTGGGAAGTAATCTGGACCTGTAGGAAAAGAAACAAGGACAGGAAGGAAACAGGGAGAGATGACGGGTTGGGAAGTAATCTGGACCTATAGGAAAAGAAACAAGGACAGGAAGGAAACAGGGAGAGATGACGGGTTGGGAAACAGGGAGAGATGACAGGTTGGGAAACAGGGAGAGATGACTGGTTGGGAAACAGGGAGAGATGACGGGTTGGGAAGTAATCTGGACCTATAGGAAAAGAAACAAGGACAAGTAGGAAGCAGGGAGAGATGACAGGTTGGGAAACAGGGAGAGATGACTGGTTGGGAAGCAATCTGGACCTATGTAGGCCAAGGATTACTGATACACAATGTGGATCACAGACCTCAGATGTATATCACCTCCCCGCTAGATGATGTCTGTCTGACTTGATTTGTCTGCCTCCCCCAATGCCCCATCCTTCTCCCATATATCCCTTCCCATCACATGTTAAGACATGCTAATTTGACTCAGGTTTACACACACTAATGTTCAATACCTCCTGATGTTCCCTCAGTAACAATACTTAGGGCAGCTGTATACAGCTTTGTGATATCAGGGTTTAGTGCAAGATTTCAAATTTGTCTCACATGGTTGTTTTTAAAAATACAGATTTATTGATTCTTAACTTGAAAGTCAGGATTAAAATTTAAGGTAATAATAAATTTCAGTCTGTCTAATGTGTAGATACAATATTGATTATTTTTCCTACCTTTTCTCACACCTCATACAAAACTTTCTAAAATCTCTGACAGAATCTCACCTGCCTTCATTTAACACAGACTGTTACCTACCCCTCTTGCCAAGTCCTTTCAGGATAATCTTTCTTATGTTAAATTTCTTAGTGCATTCATGGATACAGACTTTTATAATACACTTGTATCACATAAATTATAGTTTTCCTTGTATGATTTGAGAAAGATAACATTTCACATTACGTATGGAAAATTGTTCAATACTTTGAATTAATCACTGAAAAACGAGTCCCTAATACAAGTGCCATAGGATGGCTTGGTCAAACTAGGAGGACAAACTAGTGGTGTAAGGAAACAATCATGTAATATAATATTACAACAAGATCTTTAATACAATATCATTCTGAAAACTAGTTGATTTTTGTAGCCTTAGGAAAAAGCACAATTAAAATACAGTATCAAACAGTCCCCAACAGCTTCAGTTAAAATCTCAAACACAAGAGTTTCAGTGTACTACTTACTCCAATAATGTACACAACATACCACAAAACTCAGACAAAGAAGTACATATACCAAATATCTGAACTTCTTTATTTTTCAACACACATTGCTTTTCAAAATATACAAAACTTTTAAATAACTATTGATATTACCAAACAACCAGTAACCAACTTCATTTTCAAAGGATATTTACCTTTCTTTTATATCTACCACTATCATCATCTAATCTATTCTCAGACACCTAATAAATCTGAGCTCAGTAATATTATACAGTTTTGGGAGAAAACATTTTCATTGTTGTGGTTGATACTTCTGTTGCTCCAAGTATGCAGGAACATGAGAGGTAAGCGTGACTGGCCGATGTACACCAAGGCTATCTTTAATTGAGGTTAGCATGTGGAATATGAAGAAAAAAACTTCAAGCTAGAGTAACCCCATTGAATGAATAATTGTATGTATAATCTATTCATGTTTTTCTAAATAAGGTCAGTTTTTATATTTTAATGTGAACTAACATCACACTTAAACTTCTTTTATATCAAAACATAATAAGAAAGAATAACTTTTCACAGGAAGATATATTTAATTACATTGTGCTGCTAAAATTCATTATATCTTAAATCTTTATTATAGTTTAAACAAGTGATATTTGAAACCCACAACTATTTATATAATTGAACTGTGATTAAAGAAAATGTACAAATGGAATGATGATGCTGCCCTAAGGTACCCTCCAACACTGCTACCAGTCAGTCAGGAGCAGCTGCTGTAATAGTTGTGTACTTCTATCACAGTAATCAACCATTAGCTGGCAACATCCCATTCTGCTGACATGGCACTTTAAACCTGCCTCGTGTTAACGGAAGAATTCTGAATGGTGTCACATATTGCCGAAAAAAGTCTAAAGTAGTCTAAAATTTGTCTATGAATCTACAAATTGGCCAAACATAATGATGTATGTGAAGAACATGGTGGTAGATTTCTATAAAACTACACTGACTTCCATCAGAGACCCATCTGTGTTATACATGGAATAGATATATCATGTGGCACAGATCAGACATTATAAGGATTGAATACCAAAAGTGAAATACAATAACATTCAGTACTTCACAATCTTCTGCCAATTTTTCTCAAAAAGGTTATGCACATGTGCTTATGTTTTAGTACACATTCTGATATGATAATTATCATGTGTTCCAGGAACTAGGGCATCCAGAAAAAAGAAGTAATACTACTAAATATTGACAGTAATTTTAACTGTGGGCTGTGGACTTGAACAGTTTCAGTATATCTGAGCAAATTTTTTCAGTCTATCCATGCTGTCTAATTGAACACTAACCTTGTAGAGAATAATTCTTTAATTCTTAATGAACTAATCCACTGAAACCTGACCTTTTTCTGACTTTATACACTACATTAGATCAGTAAGTTGTGGTGGGCCCTTTAACCAAATTATAATGTGTTATGATATTGTATATTAAACAAAGGGTCATAACTCTGTATACACAAAATGTAGACTCAACCCATTAAGCAGAAATATGTTGAATTACTGAAACAAAAGACCATTACTCTGTATATGCAAAACAGTTATGATTCTGAATATTAAACAAAGGGCCATAACTCTTTATATACAAAATGTAGGTTAACACATTCAACAGAAATATGTTTGATTATTAAGACAAAGGACCATAACTCTATATATACAAAATGCAGGTTGAACCCATTAAATAGAAATATGTTTAATTGATAAAACAAAGGGCTATAACTCTGTATATGACAGAAAATTATTTGAGTAATATTCAAAGGGATGTAACTTTGTGTGTACAGTAGGTTGAACCTCCTTAAACAGAAATATGCTAAAATTTCAAACAAATGACCATTACTTAAGACACAGTGGAGATAAGTACACTGAACTATGGTACTTATAATGACAGTGAAAGCCAGTCACAAAGGTGAAACAATATAAGGTAAGGGCTCAACAAAACAACTGAAGTGCAGCAAGCCAAGCAGAAAGACAACACCGTTTTTTCTCACTTTACATACCAACATAGAAATGCTGGTACAAGTATATAGGAGGTCACAAGTGACACATTCTACAATTTGTTCATTTCTCAAATCTGACCTAAGTTGTCTGGAAATTCACCAAGACAAGTTATGTTGTCCCTGAGATCTACGATTGTCTAATAAATCATCATGACCAGGTTTAAAACTGCATCCTGTGTCGCACAGGTGTTACACTCGGACATATCATTTGTTGACAGCTACAACTGTTTCAGTACACAAGTACTTGTATCCATTCTGATCCCCTGTTCCAGCACTATGTTAACTGGATTACATTTAAGCTATTTAAGTTTGAATCATATTGATAATTGTGCTCAATCTTAATTCAATCAATGTGAATACTGTACAGTGCATTTAAGCTTAAATCGAGGAGTACTGAAACAGCAAAAAGCCATTTACAAAAGTTTCAAACATTTCAATGTTTTTAAGAATTGACCTGCATGTGTTTCTTTTCAAAATGCAGTAGAAAATATATGTATTATGTAGAAAATATAATGCAACTTAACTGTAATCACATACACCTTTCCCATTTCAGCATTCTGTAAGGTTAAAGATGATTCCTTGTAGGACAGGTCTACTTTTAAATCAAGGGTTCCCAGGATTCTACCTCGTCCTTCATCAATGTTTTCATAAATATTGTATATATACTACATACATCCACTATCATAGCTTTTTCTTCAAACATTGAAAGACTTTTGAAATTGTCGAAGGGCAGATTACATTCAAATCTTTATTCATTTTTAGTCACGGTTCACTCTTTGCATCTTCTTTCTTTCATAACACGCTGTTCTTTTTCTGTGTTAGTGTAAAATTTTCTTTTTCAAGATGATGATTCAACAAGTTAAGAACTTCTTTGACAATACAAATTTCTTCACTTTCATCTTCAAAGCACTCATGTTCAAAATAAATTTTGAATCAAATTGCTGTGTAATATTTTCTCAAGAATGTACATTTGTTTATCTAATTACTGATGCTTACAAAATTCTAACACCAACATTTCTTCATCAAACAGATGTTCTGGATCATCTTTAAACAATACATATGCATAAATATTTCTAATTTCAAAATATCTATCATTTTCCTGAACTGATTTTTCTATTGAAACAAAGGAAGACTATTATTTTATCATATGCATCTTAATTACTACTACAATGACAAAATTAATCATTTCATAAAAGTTTTAACTTTTCGCACTAGTAAACAGTAAATTTTATAGTAGAGTAACTTTCAAGTACAGAATACGACACTACAGTTCAAAGGTGTATTTACAGGGACGCAAATAGTCACCTATTTACTGACCTAGGCTTCCAGCTTGTAAATTATAGTGTGTGTAGTAAACATGATGGTGATTAGCTAATGTTATTGTACTGTTATCAAACATGTTATTTACCTAGAAATGTTTTGGCACGTAGACAAACTTGATAACAATACATGATATTGCCACCATTTTACTTTGCTACAATACAACTTAAAAGATACACTAAGTAGGACAATATCAGCTAAATACAAAACGATGAATTCAACACTAGATAAATTTATTTCAGGAAAAACAAATTGTTTAAGCGAAAATAGTTTCCGTATTACATACAGTTCTCTAAGATTTGCGTATTAACTCAGTAACCTCAGTTTGAACCAGATGATATCACTGACCCCATTAAGAACCAGTCATGTAACACTTATCATTATCATCCCTTAAACCATAGTTTATGTCTATTGACACAGGAGTCAGACATTGAAGTTATAAAACCATATTGCTACTAAAATGATGTGTAGATTTGCATCAGCAATATTGATTATGTTTACGTATAAAAAAAAACATGCTTGCTATTAAGCCCACCTACGTCTAGCTGTACAATTTAAATAAATATGTATGGCAATAAATGGGAAGTTATTGTCTTGTGACAAGCTCACCTTCTTACTTCAATGGGCAAAATAACAATACAATAAAAATACAAAGGTTACAAACTACCCACACTCCAGATGATTGCAGGACATAAATGGTAGTAATTCATTACATAAGCTTTTTACACTGATGACAGCCTGTCTCCATGGGACAAAACCTGTTAGCTACCAGATGGTTTGCGACGGTAAAAAAAGGTGTTACTTTGCGGGAAATCAATATCCTGACGTGATCACAAATTTCATAACAACCATCAACCACAACTTATTACAACCTTTACATCTTGGGCAATATCATCTGCAGTTGTATAACAGAAAACAACACCAGGAGCATACTTATGATTGTAATCATAGAGAGGTGATCTCACCTTTAATCTAAGTACATTGTATGATATCTCATAACCCCACAGACCTGACAGTTCAATATGTTGACCTATCAGTAGTAAGAAAGATTAACTGCTGACATACAGAATGAAGTTGGTATTAGCTGAGTAGATTGTGATAGAACTTGTGGGGAAAACTCTTTAAACATTGGTATTTCCAAGGTACTCTATGCTATAGTTTGTGGAGAATCTCTGTATACTTAAAGTAAGAGGTTGGTATTACCTGAGTACCCTGTCGTAGAGTTTGTGGGGAATCCCTGTGAGCACGCCTGCCCCATCTCCAGTGTCATTGTCGCACCCGCACGCCCCACGGTGCTCCATCCGCTGTAACATGGTCTGGGCATCTCGTAACACCTGGAAAATAATATTTAAAATAATAAGTATTCAGAAATCTTCGTTCTTCTTACTGTCACAGGACCAAATCTGTGTCATTTGTTATTATAATGGATTTAGATAGTAGAGTCCATGCCATTCGTGCTTGTTGGTTGGGTCATGGGTTTCTTCACTTTTCAGCTGGACACCCGAGAGTAGGCAGGGTGACTGAGTAGTAGGGAAAATCAAGTAAGGAATATTGATCAAAACAACATTAGAGTATGTACTCTAATTTATTTAGTACCGTCTGCCAGTTTGGTTAAATTCCTGGTAGTCCTTGGGAGGCAACTTATGGGTGAAGGACCCCCCAACAAGTCCCTACCAATTATGGACAAAACAATGGAAATGTTAAAAGAGGACCTTGCATTAACGATGACGTGTCTGATGCATCAGGATCGACTCCACACATGTCAGAGTATGATAAAGATGGTGAAACCAGAGACTCCAAAACTTACAACTATGTGTGTGAATCAACGTCATCAGTGTCTGGATGAACGGCAATAACTATAGGCATTATGCAATGTATAAGGTGATGATATGAACTCTAATGTACAAATTTGAATATTAATTGTATACTGTAAACAAACCTTAATGGACCTATTCATTAACTGGAAGCTTACAAGAATTGTCGCGCTTGCGAGGACAAACCACTATTTGTAGAATAGGGTACCACATTTCGGGTGCTTTGGTGACAAAAAATCTGTATTTGTCATCCTGATGAAGCCCCGAGAGGGTGAAACCAGTAGACAGTACTTGATAAAATGAAGTATCTCCTTTGATGCTGTTGTAATTGATATTCCTGACTTGATTGTCATTATGATGTTACAAAGACCTCATAATGGGTTCACAGTCAAAGAAATTTCCAGTTACTGTATATCTCTTAAGGGGCAAATAAAAAATCATTGTCTCAATGTAGGACTCTAAAACAGCATTTGTTTACATGTATGCTACGCTGTAATTAAAAAGAAAGGCTTCTTTTAGTGTTTTTCATGCTAAAGGTATTACACTCAAATAAGACTGCACTAAATGCAGTATGTTGCTTAAATAACAATTAAATTCACTAATGTGCCTGTTTATTCAAAACTGATATAGTCCTTAAATTCAATTGTGCCAAACTAAGTATGACTATAGCACATGTATTATCAAACATGTACATATTGACTATGGTACCAGGTACATTCTGATGTTGGTTGTCTGTAACATCACGACAGCTGATGACACCTGGAACTAACTAATGGAACCACTTCAATGTGGCATCTTATTGACTGGTACCATAACCATCCACAATGCCATATCTTATACCATTACACCAACACACACCAACGAGACGATCAGGATAAATAAAGGACAGGAAATATATATAGACGATACATGATCAGTGTCTTAAAATTTAAGTTGCAAAATGGCAAGAGTGAAGACAAAACTACCAAACCTTTACTGAGTTTGACCGATTTAATCTACGTTTACCTGATGTAGACTTTATGCTGAATTGTGCCTGATGATATGCATAAAAATAATTGCTACGCATGGAAATAGTTTCACACCTTAGTGGATGTAAAAAGCAATTTTGTATATAAATTTATTTGTTAAAATGAAAGCACATATTTAAACAGTTATTCATATTTATATATGAAATATCCAAGTAAAATCAGAAATGAATTCTGTCAAATGCACATGCTATAACACAGCTGTTTTCTGTCACTGTTGATTCTGACAATGACAGTGCCAGCTGAAGGTTAAATAGGTCTAAACTTGTCCTCGTGGGGTGAATTTTGCTGTCTATATTGTGCTTTAATGATATACAGAAGATCGAGTAAATATTTACACTAAAATACCTGACTCTACAATGGTCACTTCTTATCCTGCAAAACACCTCAAGGGCCAATACATAACCTATATTTCAAAGTAGAGAAGGGCTTATTACAAGACAATGACATAGCATTTGATTGTAATATGTATAGCCAGGAATGAGTTTACAGACAGATAGGTATGTTACTTAGGGCCCCCACAGTTTCTGTTTATAATGTAGCACATACAGAGAATCTTAAGGTATATCTTGTAGGATTGATTTTTGCACTTTCAGCAATATATTATCTCAAGATTCTGCTTTTTTCTTGCGGATGTTATTTTAAAATCATAAGTAAATCTTAAAAACTAAAGTCTATTTTAAATATTTTAATGATGTTAAAGCAATATTCACGCATTTTGATAAGAAAGTGCAGTCTTTACAAAGTGTTCTCCCACCTATTTTGTATTTTTTCATTCAACCATACCCACAATGTCTGGGTCATACTCATCTTTCAGTGAATACATCACGAACTTTCTGATCAGGTCACACTCCTTAGTATCACTGATGATGCATAATAATTAATGAATATTCAGGTGTAGGCAGTTTTACAGGTGGTAAGAGTAAAAAGTTAATTAAAACCACTAACAGGAATCAATTTCTAATGAATGTACCAGGTACACGTGAATATATACATATTCCACCAACGCAGAATAAAACCAGGATACAGAAGTATACAAATTTATACTAATGAGAGTCAGAAATAACTTGTGAATTTGTGAATAATTGTCTTACCTTTCTTCTCAATTCATATTTCAATTATTTATAAATATTCCAAATTTAATTTTATCTCTCATAAATTTCATTTTGTGTTTCATTTTTCACTAAACTTACATATACATGCAAGCTCCTTCAGTGTAGATATACAACTAGATCTTGATACTACAGATATATGAAGTTACAGGCCAGTAGGTAAATACAGACAGTCTAACGAGGTAACCTGATTATGATAATCATCACTCCTGGAGTAAAATCATATCAAAAACAACTAATAGTCATTGATTGTACGTAATGTACTGAGCAAGTAAAGGCGCATTCATAGCCCCTTTGGGACAAGCACAGAATCAACTTATAGACAACAGTATTGGTAAACACCCACACAGATCCAGCACTCCTGTTGAATGTCTCTACATCAACGATTTGGACAGCTTTTTCTATAGACCCAACAACACCGACCAAAACTGCTGACGTCAAATACTCTAAAATCAATTGTCACGAAAGCAATTTGTCGAAAAAGAACTGTATAAAAAGCACCAACATTTTGCCACAGTTTTGTCCCAAAAGCAATTCCCGGAGAACGCTTATTGATTTCATATCAAGAGAAAATTATGGAGTAGTTCAGTGTTCAGACTTTTCTGGGTGTGTTTCTCCCGAGTAGAACATGCAGTTTATTATCACGTATCGTCACTTCTGACAGTGTTTTAATTAAACGGTAGAGAAGCTGAGGTATCCTTCTGAAATTAGCTAAAACTGCTCAGCACCAGCAGAATAATACTCTTGTATAACCAAATTCATCATTTTGTTTATCAATTATGACTTAGCCCATCAAATTTATTAACATCATTGCCATCTAATTAAAAAACAGGAACAAATATTCTATTGTCAATATAAAGTGAATTTTTCATGACTTTATACAACAGTTATATAATTCTGATATCATGACCATCCAATGTTTCTCACAACACCATATACCACATAAAATTACTTAAGACCGAATTATTTAACAGTTCAGGTTTTGATATTGTAAAAGTGTCACTATATATCTTTTTAAACTCTGGTAAGTACTATTCACAATATACTGTTTGGCTAGAGAGAAGTTCTCAAAAGTCTTATCTGTTGAGCATTAGACTAGCAAGCAAGGTGTCCAGGGTTCAAATCCTTACAAAGGCATTCACATAAATATTTACATTGGTAACCATGCTGGGGCCTCAGTAACTTTAATTAATTGCATTTTTATTCCATACACAATAACTTTTTTCCTTATAAAGAGGAAAACTTTTATCTCGTTAGTTATTCAAGCGAAGAAGAACATTTACATTTCATTAATAAGTACATGTACATATATAATATGTTTTGCACTTAACTCAACAGACTTATTTTTACTCGACACAAAAACAATGACACAATTTTCCATCTGATTTTAATGCTTTGAGGCAGTGTTCTGATTGAGATCTTACTTCTGATAAACAAATCCGAGTCAGATATCTTAAATAACACCAACTTTTCTGATGCTATAATACATATGTAACATTTGACTGAGTACTTTTACATATCAACTAGCTGTTTGAATGTCGAAATTTCCTTGAATTTTCAGAATAAACGAAAATGTCAATTGTTTACAGAATTACAAATGTCCCTTGAGACTTTGTCTCAGATGACCTAAACAAGCGTCAGTCGACTAGCGCTGTCTCATCTGAAAATAAAACCTCCCAAATCTGGATCATCAGGTAACCCTGTATGCAATTGATCGGTTAACACTGAAATGACATCAGTGCATTCATGGCCTAATGAACTTAGTCATGATAACATAAAATTGTACTTTAATTAATATGTAATGAAGAAACAAAATAAGCATAGATGTAATCTTAGGATCACCATGGCCAGTATAGATTTTCTGCAAGACTTGCCAAAATCGAAGCAATCGCTATAACTCTAAGCTATAGAACAGGAAAAGACTAATAAAATCTTAATCCTCCAATAAGGCCATGGAGCCAGCCAGCACACAACTTCTTTCTCAGATTCAGATGGTGGACTCAGGGGCCAGCACAAAACCTCTTAATCAAGAGTAAGAGGGTGGGCTTGTCACAACACCCATAAGGGCCACCGCATAACTTCTTACTCGAAGTCAGAGGGTGGGCTCACAATAGTAATGGCATTGGACCAATGAATGCTGGCCCGACAATATACCCAGACAGGGGCATGTCTCAACAGAGGCAGGGAGAACATCCCCTAGCATCTGCTGAACACTGATGAGGTGGACGTAAAAAATGTTAACCAACCAACAAGGGTGGGCTTATTACAAGACCTCAGGGATCTAGCACATGACTTTCTAATCAGAGTCAGAGGGTGGGCTTATAATGGGGCAATGAAATACTTATTGTTAAAATTTCTACAAATAGCAAATTGATATAGGTGGACTTCTGGGTTTATTGATGGATGCTTATGTATAGCATATAATTAATCTATGTATTAAAAATATATACCTTATGTGAGCGAATGCCATCGATACTGACGACAAATCCAACACCACAGGCATCACTTTCCAGTGTAGGGTCATACAGTCCACATTTCTCCGGAATTCCAGGAACTCGACCCTCCACACAAGGCATCCCTAGCCCTGTGAAAATCTAGGTCACTGCAGCCTTGTCAGACTAACTTGTGTTCTGAATAATTCTACAAACTACAGAAGCTTGTTCAAGGGTATGTGTTGTTCTGTGAATCTATGTCGCTTGTGTTAAATTAGATCTGTTGTTCAGCTCCAGTTCACTACAGAGTTTGTTTTTCAGATATCACATACAGTCTGGTCAGTATCAAGTCAGGCAAAATGACCAAATCTTCATCAAAGAAAATGTAGACAGGTATTTTCCTTCAACGTAGTATTGATCTACAACAGAGAAAACATTTGTTAGACACCGAGATAATAACCGTGAGTATGTTAATCCTTATAACGGCCATTACACAACTGAACCATACCAATGTCCGACTAACAAGTCTGTCATGTCATCCATTAATTGATCTTTAAATCTCAAGCACACAGAAGACGCTATGCAAAAACTTTTAGTAAATTATAAAACAATAAATGAGTGAACTTTTTTGCTTCAGTTAGAAAAAGATATTAAGAACATTAAACACTGGATCTAAGAGCATAACAAACCACATTTCATACGCCAAGATCAATCAAATATTTCAACGGTAAAACCTTTCTCCTGCCCAGACAAGACTTAATATCTTTCCCTGATTTAATTGAAAAAGTACCTGGTTGACACTATCTGATATGACATGCCAACAGAAAACCAAAAATCAAAATGAAATCTCTCGGGTACACCGTATTGATCAGACAAGGAACAAACTATGTATGACCTAGCATAGTGTTATCAGACATGTCGTATAGAGATAGATCGACCTGTACAGGATTATATATATACACAGAAACTACGAAAAGCATTATAGTCACCACTGTCAGCCTCAGTAGAATCACACAGACTAAGATATATGCCTTCAAAGGCTCATGTAGTGATATGCAACAATTGTAATTGGATTTTAATATTTATGTTATTGACTGACCTTGACTATAAACGTTAAGTATCACAACATATGTCACTTAGCTTCTAGTATATTTTGTTACATATGTTATGGAACAAATGGAAATATTCCACCTTCATATCTAACATGTATATACAGAAAAAACATACCTAAATGTCATACAGTGAAACATTGCTGATACACGCCGCATAAAAAAAGGTGTAAATGATTGGCACGTGTACATGTGTTGGGTCTTTGGAGAGTGATAGCTACATATAGTATTACAGAACAACTTCATTAAAGTCTGGATCTTAAAAGAAGGTGTCAAAATGTGTTTGATCTTTAGTAATCTAACTACATGCAGAAATTACGCTCCTATAGCTAGCATCAAGCATATCTTTGTTCTGCCTTCAAAAACATTTGTGTTAGTCTACCAATCTGTATAAATGGTTACACATATATGACAAAAAATGATCCAGTAAATACTGACATGGGACTCAAAGTGATGAATATGATCCATCAGGCTTCAGAATCACATACATTTTCTCATATCTTAAGCTCAAATTAAATTTAAAGTAAGCTGAGTATCACAAAGCTCACACGGTTCAGTAACACTCAAGCTCAGCTGAGTTTGGCGAGAATATGTTCAGGTGAACTCTTCAGTCAGACAAGAGTATGTTTTTCATGTAAAAAAATGCAGCGGTTGTCAGCATCAACTTGCATCTGGTGCCACCGTCTGGGTGATGGATGGGGGGGGTGGGTAGAGTGTTGAAAAGTTAACAGATTTGGAAGTAACAGAGAGAAAAAAGAAGAAAATGTACAGGAAAGAAGGGAAATGTCAAACATATTTAACAATTGTCTAAATTTGCACAAATGTCTGACCAATAACTATTCAGAAACACGAGATTCTTTCGATAAAGCATAATTTTTTGGAACATTGACAGCAATGATTTCTGAAGCCAAAATCTCAATACAAAATTATTTCATTATAGTTATTATTTTTCAACTGTCAGCTGTCAATGATGAGCTAAATTATTTGGAATTGCAATTTATTAAGCTTCATACAGGGTTTTCCATAATTTTGTTTGTAGTAGGCTGTGTAGTGAAAGTAGGAGGCTGGCCTGCCGTGTACGTGTAGTTGTGTACGGAACATTATTACGGAACTGGATTGGTGTAGGCTGCCAAATGATCAAAGTAGCCGGTCAAATTGGCCGGCGACCAGCCCTTATGGAAAACCCTGTTCATAGATGACGATCAAGAGTCATCACCTTCATAAACTTTAAGATAGTTTCTTTGATTATACTTTAATAATTAAGTTTAAATTTACTTCACAAAATGACACTTTGTTGTTCATCATGAAGTTGACTTCTGAGTTCAGACGTCCAATCTGCACTCTACGTGGATTGAAGTTGCACTCACATTTTATACTGGCAAATCTCTACGAGTGTGACAAAACGTAATTTTTTTTTCCTAGCCCTATGAAAAAAATGGAATAACTGAGCTATTTGTGAAAGCAAAGTGGAAAGAATGGCCAAACAACTTATTTGATTTGTGAAGATTCTTCTTGCTTCAGTAGGTCACAATGAATAGCAAATATTTGTATTAAAACCCTAACATCCCACCAGAGAGTTCGGGTTCCCTTTATTTCTTTCATTTTTTTTCATTTCCAGAAAACACAGTCAAAATGATTCCAGTGATGTCACTTGCAAATATATCAGCATGAATTGTTCATAAGATAATCAAATTTTTTATGAAAAAGGTTATAATTTGGCAAACAGATTTTTCACCATTAATCTGTGTAAACAGTAACAATTCAAAAAATAAACAACAATACAATTCACATCACTGCTTGTATTATAAGTTGTGTTATAGATTGTGTTTACTTTAGAGTTAGCTTATCTCGAGACAACTGTCACCGAACAGAACAAAATCAGTTTTAAAAAAAGGTATCATAAAAAAAAACAGTAAAAAGAAAACTGAAGCACACATAAAAAATATCATGAAAAATATATATGGGAGTTATTTACTTTTTACAGTTCAATAAAAGAAATTACGTATGTTTTGAATATGGATATTTCGACAAGAAAAGTACTACAAAATTAAAAATTTCGACGTGTTGTATAACAGCTGCGTATAGGCAAAAAGAGTTATGTCCCCTGCGCTGCTCTCTCTCCCATCAGCAGCTGAAGCACGTGTGTAAATACGATGATGAACATATATAAAATGTTGATATTTATCAATTAAATTAAATCACAGTCAATACCCTTTAACGTTTTATACATTATTTATCAACATCAGTCGATGTACAATTGAGTATGATCGGCTAAGAATAAACGACTGCAATGTTTACGTTTGTACATCATACATGCATGTTTCGCTTCATTTCGCACGATCAACACATATGTGTGCAACTTCAGTATGGATATATTTTCAAATATGAGAAAAACACTCACGTGTCAGTATACAGCCTGTTGGTGACTTGTGTATGGTCTTGGTACACCACGCTACACCGTACCGGTCTGATTTTGTAATTATATGATTTCCCGGCCTTACAACACTACAAACGATACCGGTGAAGGTTACGCACTGAATTTCTATGACCACGTGAACCCAGCGTGAAGCGGGCTGTCGTTTCATTGGTTCGCTGTTCATTTTCATATATTACTCTGGTGTATGTGTGCATTTCATTTACCTGTGGAAAAATTGGTTAACGTATTCACAATTTTCATTGATATCACTGGTTGTCTCTAAAAAACAGAAGAACAAATTTGTTACATTTAAGATATGCTAGCAAAAACACATGTGTACTTAAAGCGCGAATGGCGAACCTCATTCATTAATTCCATTTGAATTGTGTATCATTACCGTCGAAAGATTGCAAAATGCACGATTTTCATTTCATGGTTGTGTGAAAAAATTACTTTTATCAAAAGAGACGTAAATGTGTAACCACGGATATCTAGGTCAGTGATGTAACTAACTTCTACCCACGGAAGTACCCCCAACATCACCAACCCACCCCACCCTACCCCAACACCTTACATTTATGTTGAACTGAAATAAGAATGAACACAGTGCAGTGCAGAAGTATCTTTAGGTACATATACTCATTAATGTATCGTCGGCATTTGGGAATTTTCCCGATAGACCCCATTGTGTTACCCTATACGTGAACTGAATATTTTCTGACGTAATTGCTGATTCGACATAAATGTAACCAATGTCGAAATTGAAAATAAAATTTACCATTTCGATGAATTCAGAGAAGTAATCTCAATGAGCTGTATATTCAAATATTGAAAATATGTTGTCTTTTAATATGTGTCGTGTGTTATTTTTTCACAAATCGGCAAAATTGTTACCTGGAGCAATATATTCTAAAACATGGTGTTTCCCAGGCTTCAAACGCAATTTTGACACACATCACACACTTTTAGACATCTGAACCTTATCCAGTGTGATCAGATGTAACGTAAATACTATTCTCGAAAATTAGTACAAGTGTGCGTTGGCAAATCGAAAAATCATACTGGACCAAAACTGTTACGTGCTTTTACTTTAAATATTGAATTTACAATTCAGATTTAAATGACTTCTACATCCGGGACTTCCACGTTAATTGATCTTTGATGGAGTAGCACGTTCGATCTGCGCTACTGTCATCATGATAGGGTTATTTTTTGTTTGTTTTAAATACACATTTTTTATTAACTATTTGTAGTGGTGAGTGTCCTTTCATTTAATTATTCATTTCTATACGCATTGTGGAAATTACTGACTTTGTTTTGATTACAAACAATAACTAACCTTTTTCAATATAAACAGTAACAGAAAGTTTGATAACTCTTGTGACAATTTTATTTCTGTTAGCTTTTTATATTTGTAAAGAAAAAATGTGTTTAAAACTCTTACAACTGAAACAGCACGCTATGTTGAATACCACTTTCTGTCCGACATACGGAGAATTTGTGACATTAAAAAAGCGGAGTAATTTTCCGATTGACTCGTGTAACTTTTGTGATACGTCACTATCATTTATTAGTATTATTTTGTTACGAATATTAGTGCCTTCACGGCTTTATAGCTCAGGGAACAAACACCAAGCGAACGACAGAAGTCACCATTGGGCCTAGTTTCTTATACCTCTGCATTACGTCACCAAGGTAGATTAACCAATGCGATAAACTGAAATACAATTGTAGGTGCTCCGTCACGGTACAGCGCCGTAACGTCGTCAGAACACTGACGTTCGTCGGTGAGACGATACCCGGACACGGGAGAAGCCGCGGAGACGGAAAACCTGTCAACCAACCAACCAAAGTCGCCAGAACACTGACGTTCGTCGGTAAGACGATACGGGAGAAGCTGAGGTCAACCAACCAACTCACCAACAAAGTCTGAGAGAACACTGAGCCGCGGAGACAACCAAAGGAAACTTGTCGTCGATGAGACGATACCCGGACCAACCAACTCACCAACCAAAAGTCGACAGAACACTGACGTTCGTCGGTGAGACGATACCAGGACACGGGAGAAACCGCGGAGACGGAAAACCTGTCAACCAACCAACCAAAGTCGCCAGAACACTGACGTTCGTCTGTGAGACGATACCTGGGCACGGGAGAAGCCGCGGAGACGGGAAACTTGTCAACCAACCAACTCACCAACCAAAAGTCGACAGAACACTGACGTTCGTCGGTGAGACGATACCCGGACACGGGAGAAGCCGCGGAGACGGGAAACCTGTCAACCAACCAACTCACCAACCAAAGTCGCCAGAACACTGACGTTCGTCGGTGAGACGATACCAGGACACGGGAGAAGCCGCGGAGACGGGAAACCTGTCAACCAACCAACCAAAATCGCCAGAACACTGACGTTCGTCGGCCATATCTCTAATTTCATTGTTAACAACAAAGGGACTTTCCAAGAATTTCACTGGACGTTTACACCAGTAACAAACACACCTTTTTAATGGATATGTTGATACATGATAATGGCTACGAAGATTTCAAAGCCAGATCTCCTGTAACATATATGTATGTCTTCAGAGTACGACATTTAGAGTTATATCGCCCGTCCTTAATCAACCCACTCTTTGCTATTACATGGAGAATCTTAAATCTTGAATAAAGAGTGCAGGTATATTGGGGTAACCGTGGTGAAGTAGGTCACTACAACTGCTATTTTTGGACTCTAACGTTCATGCACAATAGATAAAGCTTGCTGTTTCACATTTCATTATTGTATAAAACTAGGCTTTTCTTAAGACCGTCATTTACCTGAAAAATGTCACTGTAAGTTAAACCTTCGTAAGACAGGTACCTTTTTTCAGAAAACATCTACCTACTTTATAATAAAACATTTTCAATAATTTTAAGAAGGATGTGAACTGCGTCCTATTAGGACGAAGCTTTGGCCATCTTTAATTTATTTAATTTTTTTCTTTTTGTATTCCGGTGTACATGTCCGACGTACATTTTGTAGGAACATCTATGGAAACGGCGTGTCAGCTAGCTAACGACCAATCCTACGTGATCTTTGGTCTTCACGTCTCCTGTACTGCTTTGTGAATGGGCATTTACATGATGCATACATGTTACAAATAGAAGAGTATGGCAATTGTTTCATAGAAGGAAACATTGACAGACTGTTGACGGGGATTTTTATGTGAAAGCTATTGTTTATAAAACAAATTAATTTGCTTATTACCTGTATCATTAACTATACTGAGCTTGTTCAGGTGAGGTGAAAGGGACACTTCTTCAGACACCTTGAGGGGGACTGGGAGAGTTTATTTTAAGGTATACACTGACTCAGTGAAAAATGTAGCGAAATTATACTAAAAGAGATGGTGGCGGAGCATCTAAGACATTCTTATCACAACTGTACATAGCTTTTGTCTAATTTCGATTTTATGTAACAGAAGACAGTCTTGATTGTTGATGTTCATTGTATTTTCTCCGCTCTGTGCTTCGCATTCCCTGATTTTTTTTTAAAGAACTACATGTATCGTTTTTACTGCTTTCTTATCTTGAACTTTTTCTATTTTGTTTTACGGAGAAACATCTTAAAAATACTAACAACAGGACAGAGGTGACAAGATAGTATGACATTCGAATTGGTAGTGACTAGATAATGGGACAGCCTGATTAGTGGTGACAAGATAGTGGGACATTCGGATTGGTAGTGACTGGATAGTGGGACAGCCTAATTAGTGGTGACAAAATAAGGAACCGTGGAACAAGGAACCGTGGAACAAGGAACCGTGGAACAAGGAACCCAGGAACAAGTAACCGTGGAACAAGAAACCCTGGAACAAGGAACCGTGGAACAAGGAACCGTGGAACAAGGAACCGTGGAACAAGTAACCGTGGAACAAGGAACCGTGGAACAAGAAACCCTGGAACAAGGAACCGTGGAACAAGTAACCGTGGAACAAGAAACCGTGGAACAAGAAACCCTGGAACAAGGAACCGTGGAACAAGGAACCGTGGAACAAGAAACCCTGGAACAAGGAACCGTGGAACAAGTAACCGTGGAACAAGTAACCGTGGAACAAGGAACCGTGGAACAAGAAACCCTAACCCTGGAACAAGGAACCGTGGAACAAGGAACCGTGGAACAAGGAACCGTGGAACAAGGAACCGTGGAACAAGTAACCCTGGAACAAGGAACCGTGGAACAAGGAACCGTGGAACAAGAGGAACCCTGGAACAAGGAACCGTGGAACAAGTAACCGTGGAACAAGGAACCGTGGAACAAGGAACCGTGGAACAAGTAAGTGGAACAAGGAACCGTGGAACAAGGAACCGTGGAACAAGAAACCCTGGAACAAGGAACCGTGGAACAAGGAACCGTGGAACAAGGAACCGTGGAACAAGTAACCGTGGAACAAGGAACCCTGGAACAAGGAACCGTGGAACAAGTAACCGTGGAACAAGGAACCGTGGAACAAGTAACCGTGGAACAAGGAACCCTGGAACAAGAAACCCTGGAACAAGTAACCGTGGAACAAGAAACCCTGGAACAAGGAACCCAGGAACAAGAAACCCTGGAACATGGGACCCTGGAACAATTAACTATGGAACAAGGAACCCTGGAACAAGGAACCGTGGAACAAGGAACCCTGGAACAAGAAACCCTGGAACATGGGACCCTGGAACAATTAACCCGGGAACAAGGAACCCAAGAACAAGGAACCCATGAGCAAGGAACCCTGGGACAAGAAACCCTGGAACAAGTAACCGTGGAACAAGAAACCGTGGAACAAGGAACCGTGGAACAAGAAACCCTGGAACATGGGACCCTGGAACAAGGAACCCAAGAATAAGGAACCCTGGAACAAGAAACCCTGCAACAAATAACCCTGCAACAAATAACCACGGAACAAGGAACCGTGGAACAAGAAACCCTGGAACATGGGAACTTGGAACAAGGAACCCAAGAATAAGGAACCCTGGAACAAGAAACCCTGCAACAAATAACCCTGCAACAAATAACCACGGAACAAGGAACCCAGGAGCAAGAAACCCTGGAACAAGAAGCCCAAGAACAAGGAACCCAAGAACAAGGAACTCAGGAACAAGAAACCCTGGAATAAGGAACCCAGGAACAAGTAGCTATGGAACAAGGAACACAGGAACAAGGAACTGTGGAACAAGGAACCTTGGAACAAGGGACCCTGGGAAAAGGAACCCTGGGACAAGTAACCCAGGAACAAGGAACCCTTGAAAACGCCTATAAAGTGAAACTTTCGACTAACCTCCTCTGGGGCATTTTGTCCAATCACAAAACAGATGTCATCGCCGTTTTTCAGATGTAATGTTTTGCCTATAAACAACATTAAAATCGAGCAATAACTGAATTTAGCTCAATCAGAAGCCTCCAGAAACCCGACAATCCCTGAAAAATACTAAGACTTCACAAGAAAGGATAGAGGATAAACCTCTTCTTAAAGGAACTCATCTGACACTACCTCATGTTGTTAGTTCTCTACCCCATGTTGTCAGTACCCTATCCCATGTTGTCAGTACCCTACCTCATGTTGTTAGTTCTCTACCCCATGTTGTCAGCACCCTGCCTCATGTTGTCAGTACCCTGCCTCATGTTGTCAGCACCCTGCCTCATGTTGTCAGTACCCTACCTCATGTTGTCAGTACCCTACCCCATGTTGTCAGTACCCTACCCCATGTTGTCAGTACCCTACCTCATGTTGTCAGTACCCTACCCCATGTTGTCAGTACCCTACCTCATGCTGTTAGTTCTCTACCCCATGTTGTCAGTACCCTATCCCATGTTGTCAGTACCCTACCTCATGTTGTCAGTACCCTACCCCATGTTGTCAGTACCCTATCCCATGTTGTCAGTACCCTACCTCATGTTGTCAGTACCCTACCTCATGTTGTTAGTTCTCTACCCCATGTTGTCAGTACCCTATCCCATGTTGTCAGTACCCTACCTCATGTTGTCAGTACCCTACCTCATGTTGTCAGTACCCTACCTCATGTTGTCAGTACCCTACCCCATGTTGTCAGTACCCTACCTCATGTTGTCAGTACCCTACCCCATGTTGTCAGTACCTCATGTTGTCAGTACCCTACCCCATGTTGTCAGTACCCTACCTCTACCCTCATGTTGTCAGTACCCTACCTCTTGTTGTCAGTACCCTACCCCATGTTGTCAGTACCCTACCTCATGTTGTCAGTACCCTACCTCATGTTGTCAGTTCCCTACCCCATGACGTCAGTACCCTACCCCGTGTTGTCAGAACTACAAAGTGTTGTTGCTAGAGAGAGGTTCCATATGTGATTGTCTTCATTGCTGTAACGGGCCACGTTATAAATGTGTTTATTCGGGTTTCATTGACTAATTAAATAAACAACCGTAAAACCTATTTTATAACTAATCTTTTTATTTTCAATAAATAACATTTGCAAAACGTCTTTTCTTTGAAGACAAAAATGTACCAACATACATGAACATCTGTATATAGTTTCAACATGTACGATCTAATATCACAACAGTATGTGTAACACAGAAATTTGCTGTCCTATCGCGTGCTTTGTTCGCTAGTAATCAAGGACATGCATGATACATCATTGGTAATGCACATCATTGCTCGTGCCTGAATACGAAATCTGACCTCACTGGGCTTCAGCTACTCAGTGGGATATATGTTTACCCTGCTACACGCACTGACCACGGGAATTGACCATGGTGTATACAATATCAGTCCTTCCATAGGGTACACTCGCCAGCGCGCTTTAAATGAACACCTTTGATGCAGTGCACATGTGCCTCTCGTTCGCGACGTTGTTTGATGACGTCAGCAAGGCCTTCGACGACCTCGATATCCTGATTGTTTACCTCTACCAAATTACCATGGAAACGGTTATGGTAGTTAATTATGCAAGCAAATCGAACATGAACTGTTTTCTTGACACGCATGTTTGTTGTTTCCATGGATACTTCGATTTGTGGACATCCCGTGGTTGATTCTACAATCACATCTCCGATTGGCTGAGAGTTGGTGTCGTAGACAATGAACTTTTCGCCTCTCTCGAGAACATCGTTACTAAATGCGTATCCGTCTTCATCGCTATCAGACCAAAAACAACAGTCATTGACGTTAAATTTGTCTCCCTTGAAGGTCAATCGTTTTCCGTATCCCATGCCGACGGACATCAAGTAACGCCCTTTTCCGTCAAACACGTCGTCATTTCTGCTGACGTAACGTACCTTGTACCGGAAACCAGGACAAATTCGCCTGTCCACGTAGAAACCTACAACGGAGAAAGCCGAAATGAATACCCTGTCTTATATAAATAATGATCATATATACAACAAGTGTGAAGCTTAATGTTCCCTATCAGTATCTAAGTGACACTGAATAATGCATTTTGGAGAAATGAGGGAATTTTCTTAATCGTTTCGAACACCTCAGTAGAATTTTTTGCAAACATTACATATTATACTCAGAACCATTGAATTAAACAATATACATTAATTTAATTGACAAATATCAATTTAAGAAATATAAATATTGAGTTTACATATTGCCTATTTACACTGTTAAATGATTGAACTAATTGTAGATATTCACGAATTCCAAATATTCTCCTGCACTAAAAGTCATCACTTCAGTGACATAAAATATGTGTTATTACAACAGCGAATGGACGAGAAAACCTCTGGTGCATGTAAACATGATATTTACTGTGTTCTCGGCGAACTTGCGTGGTAGGTAGTCCCTCCGAAGAGGAGAACAACTTACTAATCACATATTGTGAGCAAGTTCATGTTTAAGGGACATCGTCAAATCGCTGGGCTGCGGTAGTGCTGACTTAGAACTTCTCAAAAACTGAAAGTAAAAATATTGTCAAGAACACATGGCAAAGCACTGCAATACGTCACTATATCTCTAGAGGTCATAGGTCATAATGTCTGTGAAATTTGGAGTAGAATCTTAGACTTGTAGAAGCTGTATGTAGGTTTACATAAGTAAACAACCATACATGTAGCAATATACAAAGACGTGGATCTCTTGTCGTTTTTTATTACTATTTTTTTTTTACTTTTTAATCAAAATGTTATATTAGAGAGCAGTGTTACATGGGGTTTCAGTCATTGTGGCATTAATTACGCAAAATAGATAAGTAAAGGAACATCGTCATTCCGTTTGTTTAGAAAGAGATCCACGTCCTTATGTTAAAATGATTAAAGACAATGAAAACATGTTCAAATCTAGAATGTACCGATAATTATAAATTGGCAATAGCTGAACTAATTAACAACTACTGAAAGTTAATACAATTGGTAGTGTTGTAAATATGTAGATAATTTAAACGAAGCATCGAAATGATACAAAACGGTTTGGCATATTGAAAGACACGTGGAACGTGTGCCGTTGAACACCCGATATAGTTACTGTCGTTGTGTAAATGACACTTATCAGTGATAGATCAGAGATTGAAAGTGGTAAATGGTGGGTTAATGTCAGATTCAACAAGATTATCTTTTCAGACATATAAAACATACAAAAAACGTATTAATTGATACGTATTATTTTTCTCGTGCCAATTACCGGGTACACTTATTTTCATTCATCATCTACATCTCCCAGGATGCAATAGTTGCACATATATGTGTGCACAAGTGTACTTGTATTTTTGAAGGTCGGTACACAAGTTATGAAAACCGAAGGCCACTTTCCGTTCACCACTTTCATCAACAACACCTAATTCATTGAATTGTAAACGTTATTAAATAAGACTGAACTTTGTTATACTTTTTGGGACCAACACCGGTGTACAATGTGCGCCATTAACTAGATTAAATATCTTAATTTTTCAAGGGAAACATTTTATACAGGTTTTTCTGTTTATAAATAAATGGAAACTGTCCCGACGAATGAATTGACAATACGTTTACAGATTAAGTATCCAGAGAGATGGCTGCCATTGATTACACCACTACATTGGTCCCAAGTGAACAAGTCACTACTCCAAGCAGGTATTAGTACTGTAATATCAGACAAAGTCGTCACCTTTTCGTACCTGAGTTGTGTTTTGTCCCAAGGTCGTTCTAATTCTAAGGTTACCGCTATTTGTAAGTCAAGTGTTGACATAGGAGGCAATGGAACAAAGCAACCGTTGTGAAATTAATCACCATCAACATTTATATACAGAAACAGCAAAACCCACCTTTGACAGGAAACTCATGAGGACGGATACCATGTACTGTGTACTGGACGGGAATGTCCACTGGTCTCAAGGTTAAACTCTGGACAGCGGTCAAATCTTCTACCTCTTCATCTGTGGGTACCTTTTCTGGACAAAATGGTGTTCTGTCTTGTCCTACTGAAGACAAGGTAGATAGTAGGTTCCATTTGGTAGAATTATTGCAGTCGGTCTTTCCAGATTCATGGATTTCTCTGGTCCCCAGGGCAGTTTCTAAGTCATCCTGGCGAAGGGCAGGATACAGAGACAGCCGCTTCAAGAAATTTCCATCAGAATCTTCGTTCAATACTGATGGAACCGGTGTTATGAAATTAACGATTTCCATGGGTTTCTATCTTCAACGTCTAGTTAAACAGATTACAAATTACTACTATAAGTGAATAGACTATTTACTTTGTAAATTTTAATGCTTAACGGTGAAGTGTTGTTGAAGTTAAAATAGATCTGTATGAATGGGGTCTTCCTGCTGTAATGACTCAGCTGGGATCAATACATAATGTATACCGAGGCTCCTACCGGATTTCACCCGATCAACCAATCAAACAGTCCCGTGTAGATGAATATCACTTTTCATTGGTTATTCTGGTATAAATTTTCCCCACGTGAAACACTCGTGTTCTATTCATGCCTGGGTTTGTTTTTATTGTTGAACGCCATCAGCCTGGGCCTTCTAGTGAATGAGATGTACACACTAACAAGACCTCGTTACACGAAATATCGGTCATTTATTGTACTGCCTTTCAGCAGACTCCTGTTGGTCACAGTCTAGGACGTATAAATATTTTTAACATGGCGCTTAGCCATCTCTTTTATTTATATGTTTAAGATATTCAATGAGACGTGTGTCCGAGGGAAAAGTGTTCATGGAAGACAAGTCTACGGTTGTATGCGTACAAGGTGTGCAAAGTTTTTGTTCGCTCGACCGTCTAATCCTATTAAATATATCTCCTTCATACAGCACAAGAAATATTTACAGATAAGTAATTAGAGTGGTAAACTGCATTAGGAAACCATGGTGTTAATCCGATTTACCTGTTGTGTCGTCCTGGTTACAGCCCGTTTCCGGCTTACTTAACCATTCTTGCGTAATTCTATTGCGCTAAGTACTTGCAATTCTCCCTGAATTGCTTCATTAGTGTTTTTGACATTTGTTTATATTATTTTGTGTAAAACACATCATTTGGTAGAAAAATCTACAGCTCGATACTCACTATAGCACTATTTCCTAGACATTTGAATATGATTAATATGAAAAATATAACTTTTGGATTTGTGACCACTATGACCTACTATTCTCAATGCACGTGCATCAGCTTCTTGAGATATCCTTTTATTCACATTGTGCTTACGTTCACATAAAGACGTGCTTTTAGTTACATTTTTTTTTGCGAAAAAACAACCAAATAAAATGATACATTGATGCTTTGTAGTGTCTCGTTAGTATCTTGGGCTGGATATTGATTTCACGAAGAGGTCAAAATATCGTGAAAATCTTTCCATTAATTGTAATGTGAATTTAACGAAACGTGGATTAACTTTTGGTGTGTATTAAAATTCGTTTGTCCATCATTCCAAACGATTTAGCAGCTTGAAATATGAAAACAATATAAGCCCGTGTTCATTGGTTCTCATGTCACAACCACACTAAATGATTTGCATACTAAAACCAAAGAAACATAACTGTATTTTTGTCTGCCACACTACTACAGTCTTCAAAAAACTTGGCGTGTTTGGTTACCAAGGAATTCTATCTAAAAATTAGTCAATCTTTCCGAAGATTAAGTGCTGACAAACCATACTTAAGTGTTACAGTCATTCAGATTGTCAGTTCATCATAAAGATACGGACCTTTGTCGTTTATATTGGATTCATTGGATCCTGAAATTTCCATATGAATCAATGTAAGCGACGTTTTAACGCCAGCTAATTTCCTTCTTATTACCGTTCTTAGTGGTCTTATAGTGGTACTCTGAAGGTTGAATTAGCTGAACGTTGATTTTCAAGTTGAATATCATCTCATAAAATAGTTCTGTAATCAAATTTGATTTTCCGATTTTGCTTCCATTCTTCGGGCACGAGAGCTTTCTTTTTAAAGAAAGGTGAACGAATAAAATCTAATAAAACTAAGGTAAAAATATGAACAAATGTAAGATTCACACGGAGGCTTTTGAAAAAGTAAATAAAATGAGAATAAGACCAGATTTTTCTTTTGCGTTATCGACGATACCCGCCGTGTAAGTCTTTATCAATACCAATAAATAATGTCACGTTCTGGAAGGAGAACAGGGTTAATATCATATTTTCAACAGAGGTCATTGTGATGGCCTGTACAACTCCGTAAACCCTATGTTATGTGAAATGTCAGCTGTTGATATCTTTCAAGGAAAACGTGTTAATGGTAACAACCGCTTTGATATCGAATTAACTGGAACAGTAATATTTGACGATATGGTGTGATAATATAAAACCGTAACTTTGGAGATTTGTTTCCGTTTATTTTAGTGTTTCGAGAATGTCAGTATGACGTACAAACTTTTATTCATTATAGTGATGTTATCCAACGAATTTAGACGTAATGATAGAATAGCATAAAACACATTTTTTCTCTCCGATAATCACTATTTATTCTATACTTAAATCTGAATGCCGAGAGAAGCGAGACGAAAAAAAATATCGAGGGTACTTAAAGATATATTTTTTCAAATATGATAACGATAATATTAACTATGAGAAGTAGTTATTTCTGAAAGTGATGTACGTTTTGCTGTCATTAAGGAGTATCGCACCTTGCCGTGCGGAATACCGGTTCAACTGCGAGGAATATGGTTTACGAATTGGGGATCCGCACCACAATGTCATGATCAAGAAATCGGAAAACAAATGATGATTATTATTTCCTCCAATGATGAAAAGTTATAGAAAACATGAACAATGAACAGAATTGCATTTCATGTAATGTTGAAACATACATGCGCACTTACATACATGTAGGCCGGTAATTTGTCTCTACACTGATAAGTTGATGTCAATGTTCACATTCATTATACTGATATAGATATTTAGATTTCTTTTGATTATTCTCATTTCAGAATCAACGAAAATTTTCATATCAATAATAACATAATAAATGTGAATATTGTCGTTATCATATTGAAGACAGGAAATTTCAGTCTAACACACATGTAGTACTATGTCATCAGCACTGAAATCTACTGAAATCCGAAACAAATTTCGAAACTTGATAAACTACAAATAACATATGGTAAAATTACACAAGGTGACATTTTGTTTGAAGTCAGTAGAATTGTCTGTATATCTATGATGCCTGGCGAGAGGAGTAGCTGTACTCAGTAGATGTCACGGACTTGATTTCATGAAATGAAGTAAATAATGTAAATAATTAAGAAACCCCATCCGGCCAAAATGTTTGTTAAACTGTGTCAGTATAGCTTGGCAGTATAATTAACTCTTATACAATTCTATGTTTAAAAGTTAAAAAAAAAAAAAAAAACATATTATTTGATATCAAACTAGCGGATCAAAGTACATTCTGGTTGTGGTCGGGGACACAACGGTGGTACAAAGGTGTGAAATTAACTGAAGTATAAACTGCGTTTCACTGTAATATGTTCTAAGTATGATAGAGTTATCTCCCTTATAATACTTTTGACCACATTTCGTGGGATGCTCTACAAGGGTCAGTGGAGAGATCTTGTGCTAGAAGGACTGAACATAGCATTGGATTAACAATTTGCACATATCTTCTACAACTAAGTTGGATATCGTGCTGTAAGATGACCGGTCAGATATTGTGTATGTGTCACGTGCTACACACCTGATTTTGATGCCGCACTGTAAGATGACCGGTCGAATATTGTGTATGTGTCACGAGCTACACACCAAAATTTGATGCCGCGCTGTAAGATGACCGGTTAGATATTGTGTATGTGGCACATGCTACACATCTAAATTTGATGCGCACTGTAGGATGACCGGTCAAATATTGTGTATGTATCACGTGCTACACATCTAAATTTGATGCCGCACTGAAGGATGACCGGTCGGATATTGCGTATGATCCACTTGCTATACTCCTTATGTCACTGCAACATTTCAGGCCGTTTTGGAACATTTCCTTCAAGTTGTTAATGTCAATATGAACATTTTAGGCCGATTTAGTTGTTCCCACCATCTCCTCATTTTTTAATTTCATAATTTTAATTAAATTCAATGTTATTAGTAATTAATATAGAACTGGACGAAAGTTAAGATGATTTATATACGTCTTTTTCCAATATAGATATTATATATGAACCACGTGCTGCAAGCGTACTAAACATGAAATAATAAGCTTATATCTAAATTGATAACTACAGATTTTCATGAAATATTTAAAAACAAATTATTTTTACACAAAGAGAAAATGGAAACGGAACTAAGAAAAGTTTCGAACATAGAGTCGAAAACCTTTTGGTATATTTTGAATGAAATTAATGGTCCCTGTAAGGAACAGAAGCTAGACAAAAATATTTATAAATTATATGACACTTTAAAGAGTTGAATAAGGGAAGTAACTCTGATGAGATGTTTGACGATGTGGTTATAGATGGGGATAGCAGATTTGATCATCTGTTGAATGGAAATATTACTGAATGTGAAATTAGAGAGTCCAATGTAAGTTTGAAGTGTAATAAAGCTTCAGGTTTTGACGGAATTGTTAGTGAATATTTAAAATCTACTGTTGAACTGTTTAAACCTTTGTAATGTAAGTTGTTTAATATTATATCTAATACTGGTTGTATTTCCGACTCTTGGAAGATAGGTGTTATTAAACCCATTTATAAAGGAGATCCATCTGACTTAGACAATTACAGAGCTATAAGTCTTGTTTCATGTCTAGGAAAAGTTTTTACATCAATATTTAATAACAGACTAAACAAGTTGGCTGATGAAATTAATCTAATTACCTGCTCCCAGGCAGGCTTCAGGAAAAATCATTCCACCACTGACAACATTTTTATTCTACATGCATTGACTTCTATTTATTTTTCTCAAGGAATGAAATTATTCTGTTCATTTATAGATTTCAGAAAAGCTTTTGATTCAGTTTGGAGACTTGGTCTATGGAGAAAAGTTCAAAAGAATAATATAGCCGGAAAGATGTTCAAAGTAATATTTAATTTGTATGCAAATACTAAATCTTGTGTCAAAAATGGAAATGAATTGTCAGAAATGTTCAATTGTAATATCGGGGTAAAACAAGGAGAAAATTTATCACCGTTTCTATTTTCAATTTATCTCAATGATCTGGAAGATTTTCTCGCAGAAAACAATGTTAATTGTCTTTAAACAATAGAAACTTTGAGTGAAAATTCTTCTGTATGCAGACGACACCATTATTATGTCTGAAACAGCGGAAGGACTTCAATCTGCTCTTAATACTTTTGAAGTATATTGTAATACCTGGAAGCTTAATGTTAATACTAACAAAACCAAAATTGTTATATTTGCAAAGAGAAAAGGTCGTACAGTCTTCCACTTTACATTGTGTAGTGAAGAAATAGAAATTCTTGATGAATTTCCTTATTTGGGTGTTTTAATTAATTACAACGGAAGTTACTTTAAAGCTATATCTAAATTAATTGAACAGTCTAAAAAAAAGCAATGTTTGCTGTTTATAAGAAAATAAGAAATATTCAGCTTCCAGTAGACCTTCAGTTGAAGATTTTTGACTCACTTGTATTGCCTATACTTTTATATTCAGTAGAAGTTTGGGGCTTTGAAAATTGAAGTGCCATTGAAAAACTTCATTTACAATTCTGCAAACGTGTTTTAGGTATTAGAAGAATTACACCAAATTTTATGATTAATGGTGAAATTTGGAGATTCCCTTTACTTTTCGAAGGAAGTACGTTTTGGTAAAAATTAATTACCTGTAATAACTTGTCAAGTATCATGTATAACATAATGTACAATCTACAAATTAGCGGCAATATGGATTCAAATGGTTGAAAATTTTTCAAAATATATTTATAGAAACTGGTTTAAACTTTATCTGGGACTACCAGAAAATATGTACATTTAATAGAAATTATTTGAAACTTGTCGTTAAGCAAAGATTATAAGACCAGCTCATACAAAAATGGTTCAGTGATGTAATTAATTCCTCTCGAGGAAATACCTATTGTATAATGAAAAGTAATTTTGAATTAGAAAAATATCTTTTGAGACTAAAACCTAGAGAAAGACAAATTATCGTTAAATTTAGAACTTCTAATGTGCATTTGCCGGTAGAAACAGGAAGATGGACTGGAATACCAAGGGATAACAGAATTTGTAATCTTTGCTAAAATGAAATTGGCGACGAATACCGCTATCTTTTTAGATGCGATCATGAATCAATTCGTAGAATTAGAGATCAACTTATCCCACGTTACTATTCTACTTATCCTAGTATTACAAAACTGCATGGACTTTTTTCTGTATGTAATGTTAATGTTTTATCAAATCTCAGTAAATTTCTTGAAAAGCTTGATAATCTATTGAATGTACGTAGCTAAAATGATATTATGTATGTAATTGTTTACCGCCATGCCAAGAATGTGTTTTTTTTTTTTTTTTTTTTTTGTAATCTGACCTCTTGTAACATACTTTGTATGTCTGAGAGTACCAATAAAATCTGAAATCCGTAAGGCCAGGAGTGCAGTGAAGGAAACAATTCATCTCTCATTTACATTTGGCTTTGAGTAGTGACCAGACTGTACACTTTAGCGTCGTATTAACCCCTACAGGATATCAATCCGGTCTTCTACAATATGGTCAACTAACAGCACTCCAAGTCAAAATATTTTTGACTAGAGCAGGGGCAGAAGTGAGTATAATATGACATGAGGGCATTCACTAATTGATATGAAAATCACGTGACAAAATTATATATTTGTTGTTAAAGAGGACTTTCTAAAGTTTGATTAAACTTGAGTCGAAGTAATAAATGAGATTTTCTAAAGTGGTAAATTATAAGTGATAAATTGTGGACAAAAACAATTTGGTTGAAGCAAATAGACATTTAGCTAAAAACATTTTTTATCATTGCAAATATGCGCATAACCGGGTTACACTTTTTAAATATTATGCTTTTCCGGGTACGTGTTGGTTATTGGTACTACTTGTACGTGGGCCACCATATTGATGACAATACCCTGATATCGTGCTAAAGTGATTTATTCAACCATGGTAACACCGTTTGGCTAGAGAAAGCTCTTTTTCCCGGCCGGCTTACCTTAAGGTTTTCAAGTCAGCGGTCCCGGGTTCGAATTTGCCTAGCGGAGGCATTCAAGTAATTAATGACCTTTTACACTGGTGCCGATGCAGAGACTCGGGAATAATACTTAGCATTGTCCAACAAACATCGCTGTAATGCCCGAAATCTCTGGTAAAATACAGATATCTCCCTTTAGCTAGATCGATTGAACATAAGACTAATAAGCCAGGGATCCCAGGTTCAAAACCTAACTGATGTAAAATAAAGGCCTATACTACTCTAAAAACAATGTTGATTGGTTATCGAGATGATCTAGATTGGAGTTACTTCCCTTCGGTAAATATGATGAATTTATATATTTGTAATTGTCACCGTGGTCATACAAGTGGCAAGTAAACGCGTCTACACAAAGGTGAACAGTTAAAATAAAAAGTCGATTAGGCTATAAAGTAAACGAGTCTATGAACCCCTAAATCTTCATCAGGATTCGTCCACTTCGGCGACCTTATCCAGATGTAGATTCAGAATGAGGTATGGCTTAATCTATACACTCCCGTACTGAAAGTCGAATTATCGTTAAACGTTATGGACGGGAAAACTGAGTCGCTAGGAGTTGATTTTTAGGTAAATAGTTTTGTAACTAAACTGTCATATAACAGAAATGATAAGAGAAAAAAAACACCGATTTTATTTCTGGTTATGCGTTGCATCTTTCTGTTTCAAGGAATAAAACTAGATATATAGGGTCACTTGCAAATATTTTCGTTCTTACATAAGAACCCGCGTGTTTACTAGCCTATTTATAAAATTCATAAGTCTCCCAAGTTGTAGAACTTGTGATAAGATAAATAATTCATCAACCAAGAGCTCACCGTTGTTTTCTCTAACACTGCGCCTTTCTGGCGGTTTTCAAAAATCATATTCCCGTTGGCCGATTGTCTACCTGTGCATGGGTCTCTGAAATTTCATGCTTATCGATAACAATAAAAAGACCCTTCAGAAACTAACGTAAAGAGAGTAAGCAGAGACATTGGCAATTATCATCTAATAAATACACTTTCATAATGAATTTATTTGCAACTGATATAACAAATTCGATATATATAGGAACACCAGATATAATTACATGTAATTCTGATGAAACATATAACAATGCTTAATGTGGACCTAAACTAAGTTTTCGAACATGTTAATGTGTTCAATGTACAATGCGCTTTCATATCTAATGCAGATATGCGAAATACGTTGTATAGATACATTTTAAAATCAAAGTAAACGAATGTCACTCGTAAAATATTCCATGGACCAGACCAATAGCTACCAGAGAACTGTTTTTGTACGTTACGCATGCGTGACTGTCGTTGCTTGCGTCCCAGAGACACCTACTAGCAACTTGAATGCCACTTTCTGTTTGTTGACTGATAAACACGTTACATATTACTTTGTGTCGCGGGGTGTTCATACTCTTCACCTTGTTCTTAATAGCCACTGAAATCTCACAACACAGTCTAGCGCACACGATCGGGTCATAGGTCACGTTGGCAAGATATTCATGAAGTATCGCAGAGATCTCATTGCGAATTTTGAATGGCATGAAGCAATCATCCGGCTTCATTTTGTATGTATTTTCTAATCGAATTTTCGGTTTGCTTTCCGGAGGTTCCTCCAGTGTCTCATGGGTTGGTCCTAACAGCGCCTTGGTCATGCGCCTGATATGGATTCCCTGTTGTGAGCTCTGTGCCAGCTTTAGAAACGAAGACTTTCGACGGTTTGGGTTAGGCGTCATAAGTTTGGACATGGTCTCTCTCGAGGTCCGTCGCTTGCTATCCGACGAGGCGTCGTCTGTTATCTGTAACAAAAATGTACCTTACAACAAAAGTATCACAGGAACGGAGCAGTTTTAAACTAAGGAACGTTCGAAATCCCTGGTTACAATGTTTGCCAAAACAAGAAACATGTACCGAAATATTGAAACTCAATTGTATTAAGAATATATCGAAAGAGAAGACAATCTTGACGGTACAACTCGAACAAGAAGCTTTTCGGATTGACGTGGTGAATGTCCTTTCTTTCAGTTACCAGCCGAAACAATTTATGTGATGTATAAGAAAACAATCGTTGTATTTTGAAATTTTACTATGTTTTAATTTGCTATTTGTCCCTTAATATTCAATATGTTCCTATGAGCTGTTCCCATTGTTTTAATATACGGCTACGTTATACTACACTATACTACATCTGTTGACACTACCATCTGAGCAATAATGCATAGGCTTTGGGTTACGATCGTGTTAATACCGTTAACCTTTATGCTTCTCAATGTGTAGTGCAGAAGTTTTCAACTCAACGTGTCATGTACTTACAGCCAACACAATGTGTCGTGCTCATACCGTCAACCCAATGGTCTTACCGTTAATTCTATAAGCCAACTTACCAATATATGTGTTTTTGTGTCTGGATTTACCATTGACTCCATGTAATGTTTACTTGCCATTAACTCAATGTGTCGTGTATGTTTGTGTCCTGTTTTTACAACTGAATATATGTGTACTGTTCTTACCATCATCAAATTCTTTGTCCTGTTTTTTCATCAAGAACTTTTTGTGTCATCGTTGTATCGTGTTCTTGCAGTTAATTCTGGATCCTGTTTTACCATTAACTCTGTGTGTCCTGTTTTTAACATGAACTCTTTATGTCAACGCTGTGTCGTGTTCTTACAATTAATTATGTACGTTGTATTACCACGAACTCTTTGTGTCCTGTTTTTACCACGAACTCTACTTGTCCTGTTTTTACCACGAACTCTTTGTGTCATTGTTGTGTCGTGTTCTTACAATTAATTATGTACCTTGTATTACCACGAACTCTATTTGTCCTGTTTTTACCACGAACTCTATTTGTCCTGTTTTTACCACGAACTCTTTTTGTCCTGTTTTTACCACGAACTCTTTGTGTCCTGTTTTTACCACGAACTCTATGTGTCCTGTTTTTACCACGAACTCTATTTGTCCTGTTTTTACCACGAACTCTTTGTGTCATTGTTGTGTCGTGTTCTTACAATTAATTATGTACCTTGTATTACCACGAACTCTATTTGTCCTGTTTTTACCACGAACTCTATTTGTCCTGTTTTTACCACGAACTCTTTGTGTCATTGTTGTGTTTTTACAATTAATTATGTACCTTGTATTGTGTCCTGTTTTTACCACGAACTCTATTTGTCCTGTTTTTGTCCTTTGTCCTGTTTTTACCACGAACTCTTTGTGTCATTGTTGTGTCGTGTTCTTACAATTAATTATGTATCCTGTTTTTACCACGAACTCTATGTGTCCTGATTTTACCACGAACTCTTTGTGTCCTGTTTTTACCACGAACTCTATGTGTCCTGTTTTTACCACGAACTCTTTGTGTCCTGTTTTTACCACGAACTCTTTGTGTCATCGTTGTGTCGTGTTCTTACAATTAATTCTGGATCCTGTTTTTATCACGAACTCTATGTGTCCTGATTTTACCACGAACTCTTTGTGTCCTGTTTTTACCACGAACTGTATGTGTCCTGTTTTTACCACGAACTCTTTGTGTCATCGTTGTGTCTTGCAATTAATTCTGGATCCTGTTTTTACCACGAACTGTATGTGTCCTGTTTTTACCACGAACTCTATATGTCCTGTTTTACCACGAACTCTTTGTGTCATCGTTGTGTCGTGTTCTTACAATTAGTTCTGTGCCTTACCATTAAATATGAGTGACCATTACTTACCATCAGCTCTATTTGTGTAACCACCAAATCTATGGTATTTATTGGATTATAATAATACTTTTGTTTTGAGAATTATTTGTAAACAATATTTACCGTTACCTCCGACATATTGTATCGTCAAGGATTATGGCGATTTTCAGATCTTGGAGATGAACCTGAAAAATATGATAATGAAACAGTACTGTATTGCTGATCTAAACTAACCCTGGTTTTCTTTTTGTTTGATGTATGTTGATATATATTATTGTTTGTACACGTTGTAACAGCAGATCACCATTGCCAGGACCAAAGTATCGAAACAAACAATCCGATAGTATAAATTCTGAGTCAGGATTACCATAAATACCCGGATTAATTTCTGTATGGATTAAGAATTTAGATTATCACACTGACGTGGTATTCTAAATCAACAACGCTGTTGCACGATTAAATCATTTTTTAAACTGGAACTACAGAGGCAAAGAAGTAAAGGCATGGCAGCCGAGAATATATAGATATCTATGTTTGAATATGATATATCACATAGAAATACACACACCGTCATACACTAAAGTATGTTCAACACTGCGTCGCCGTTCATCAACATTTACCGAAAATTGAGGAGTCGTCATACTTATATCAAACAGTAATTCAATTAAACCATTCTACAATATTACACACGTATCTACAATATATCTGGGATTTGAAAGAAAAAATAAACATCAATTCCTTGACCATTATCATATTCGCCATCCCTATCGTCCCACCAGAGTTATCATACCTAATGACGTCATAAATGATTAAATACAGATTAATCGTTCCTCTGATGACGTCATCAATGATAAGAAATAGGCATTTCAGCGTGTTATCTTTCGAAATCATAAAAAGACGCACAAATATTTGAAAAATCAAAATTTCATCATATACAGCGACGGTTTTACTAGTAAATAACGACAAATAAGATAGTTGCATTGACAAACCGATAAATCTCAGATCTTTTACACAACTGTCGATATATAACAATGGAGTTTACAAGTGTAGTTTCTGGTTATCGACTGCATGTATTTTGGGAATTCCAGCTGCGACACATGATGGGACAAGAGGACTATACCTTATCAGCTATTTTTTATGTTGTGTTAAAATGTTAGCCATCCTTATCATAATCATTTCTCTAAATGCCAATGTTTTATTGAGATCGATACGGGTTACATCTGACACGTACATGTTAATGTGATATATGACACAATAATGAAGAATACTGTATTGTCTTGTAGTGTAATAGGTTATACATTTAAAGATTAAAAAAAATTATCATCGACCACGTTATACGAGGTTATACACGTGTAGAATGTTTAACTGATTATCGACTACATACAAACGGAGCTATATATGGAAATGTTTAGTTTATTATCGACTACATACAAACGGAGCTCTATATGTGGAAATGTTTAGTTTATTATCGACTACATACAAACGGAGCTCTATATGTGGAAGTGTTTAGTTTATTATCGACTACATACAAACGGAGCTCTATATGTGGAAGTGTTTAGTTTATTATCGACTACATCAAATTATGTTTTAAACGAATACGATGTTTAACTGATAATCTACCTCATTTAAATGAGGTTATCCACGTTTAGAATGTTTCATTGGTTTTTAACCAATTTTAAATGAGGTTATACACGTGCACACTGTTTAACTGGCTATCGACTACATACAAACGAAGTTATATATACGGTACGTGTTTACATTCAAACAAGGTTGTTATACACGTATAGAATGATTAACTGATTATCGACTACTTTCAAACAAAGTTATACATGTGGAGGCTGTTTAACTAATTATCGACTATACATTCAAACTCGGTTATACATGTGAAGGCTGTTTAACTAATTATCGACTACTTTAAAACTAGGTTATACGTGTGGAAGCTGTTTAACTAATTATCGACTACATTCAAACTAGGTTATACATGTGGAGGCTTTTAAATTAATTAAACATACTAGGTTATACATGTGGAGTCTGTTTATCTAATTATCGACTACATTCAAACTAGGTTATACATGTGAAGGCTGTTAAATTAATTATCGACTACATTCAAACTAGGTTATACATGTGGAGGCTGTTAAATTAATTATCGACTACATTCAAACTAGGTTATACATGTGAAGGCTGTTAAATTAATTATCGACTACATTCAAACTAGGTTATACATGTGGAGGCTGTTGAATTAATTAGACTACATTCAAACTAGGTTATACATGTGGAGGCTGTTAAATTAATTATCGACTACATTCAAACTAGGTTATACATGTTGAAGGCTGTTATAATTAATTATCGACTACATTCAGGTTATAAAACTAGGTTATACTTGTGGTTATAAATGTGGAGACTGTTTAACTAATTATCGACTACATTCAAACTAGGTTATACATGTGAAGGCTGTTAAATTAATTATCGACTACATTCAAACTAGGTTATACATGTGAAGGCTGTTAAATTAATTATCGACTACATTCAAACTAGGTTATACTTGTGGAGTCTGTCTAACTAATTATCGACTACATTCAAACTAGGTTATACATGTGAAGGCTGTTTAACTAATTATCGACTACTTTAAAACTAGGTTATACGTGTGGAAGCTGTTTAACTGATTATCGACTATACATTCAAACTCGGTTTACATGTGGAGTCTGTCTAACTAATTATCGACTACATTCAAACTAGGTTATACATGTGGAGGCTGTTAAATTAATTATCGACTACATTCAAACTAGGTTATACATGTGGAGTCTGTTTATCTAATTATCGACTACATTCAAACTAGGTTATACATGTGAAGGCTGTTAAATTAATTATCGACTACATTCAAACTGATTAGGTTATACTTGTGGAGTTTCTGTACATTAACTAATTATCGACTACATTCAAACTAGGTTATACATGTGAAGGCTGTTAAATTAATTATCGACTACATTCAAACTAGGTTATACATGTGGAGGCTGTTAAATTAATTATCGACTACATTCAAACTAGGTTATACATGTGAAGGCTGTTAAATTAATTATCGACTACATTCAAACTAGGTTATACATGTGGAGGCTGTTGAATTAATTATCGACTACATTCAAACTAGGTTATACATGTGGAGGCTGTTAAATTAATTATCGACTACATTCAAACTAGCTTATACTTGTGGAGGCTGTTTAACTGATTATCGACTACATTCAAACTAGGTTATAAATGTGGAGACTGTAAAACTAATTATCGACTACATTCAAACTAGGTTATAAATGTGGAGACTGTTTAACTAATTATCGACTACATTCAAAGGTTATATAAATGTTGCATGGTTAACTGATTGATAGTTGATGGCCAGTCACGTGAGTAAATCACGTGTATAACCTAATATAAATAAAGTTAAGACCTAGGTAAACATCCTACCGTTTTATACAGTATACAGGTACTTGGAAGTGATCTTGGTTTAATCCATGCTAATTTTCCAATATTTCTACAAGGACGAGTGTAAATTGTTCACGAGTTTTGATGTTATCTCAAGATCTGTTCACTCACTGGTCATGAGCAGGTCCCAGACCTAGCACGTGTCCTGTAACATATTTATCTTCTATCTCGGGATTTAAGATAACTACTGTGTAAATACGAAATAGACTATCATAAGCATTATCAAAAGACGATTTAGAACTTCTCATCGGATTGGTGTCGATTTACGGTCAGCATTAAGATACGTGTAATTAATTTCTTCCCGAACAATGGTATATGGTTTTTCACCAAAAGCAAGGGATGTTAATGGACAGAGCTTAGATAAAGTACTAACAAGTTTTATTTTAGAGGCTAAGATGTTCTTTAATGTGCGATTTTTGTTAGAGTTGCCTCCCTTCTACGTAGCAACATTTTTAAAGAAACTTTTTCAACGTAAATAAATATTACTTTGTTAAACGTTTGCTTAACGACCCTGCAGCAATCCATTCAGTTGAGAGAACTACCAACAATAATATTTTACATTTCATTTTATAGAGCTCTCCTGGAAAGAAGATTATAACAACAAGCTATATATCACCCGACTTTAGAAAAAAACTCACGTGTCTCCGAAGTTTGGATGAAAGTATTTACGTCTCCCTATGGCTTTACAGAGTAAAGTTAGATGTCCTCTCTTTCTATTTGTGACTTTTTTTGTTGTACGATTTCGGAACATAAACAATAATTGAGGTAGAAAATGGGGTTAATCTATTTTGATTTATGGATTTATCCTGACTAATGTGTCCTGCTATACATCGATACAATTAAACTCAAATAATGTATTCTAGTCTGCGTAGCTTTGTAGTATAAGCCATATCATATTGCTTCTAAGTAGTAACTCGTTCCAGTAAACATTTAAGAAATCGGTCAAACAAATAAAATGTCCGGAAATTATGAACATTTCACAGGATTTTACCTCAAAACTAATTTATAGTTTAAAAAAATATGAAAAAAATTGTTTTTCAATTCACAATGAAGGGAATTGTACCTGTGGCGATTACGAGGCTGTGTTGAATCAAAATAAATAAGTAAACAAAATAAATGAAAATACTTACCTTTAGAATAATTAAGCCACGTCCAATTAGATACGTAGCTTTTTACATTTTCCAACACGAAACGTTTAGACAATATAAATAGTGATGATGGTCGGTCCTGCAGTACTGTGTCCCGTCTCGTTGGAAATCCCTGGTACAATGCAGTCCGATGTGTATTGTCTGTAATCTGTAAGGTTCACTGTTAGCGTGTATTGGTGTTTTTACTGTAAGCTTGTAACAATGAAGTACTGTTTACCGTATACGAGTAAAGCCTAGTGATTAAGCCACTTGATCGGGGTTTATTTTAATTATTAAATAAATATCCTCTTTAAATATTTGATTTTGGGTCTCGTCAATTTAAACACGTTACGGCTTGAACAGATATGGCCATCACTGTTTGTTCGGTGTAAATCGAAAATATTCCGCTCTTCACAGACCGCCATTGTCTTGTTATACGTTAATTGCGTCACCCAATTAAATTCATTGTTACAGGTCCAGTTGTGTATACCTTTGATATCTATTGTCTGTTCAAAATTCATACGTTTATGCCCAAAAACT